AAAATATTCAATTAGAAAACATTAGTTTCATTAAAAGAAAACATATTTAAGCAACATTATTTGAGTGGTGATCTTAAGGGCCAATTCATAAACGTTCTGTTAGTTGGATAAATTTCAAAGAAAATTAACATGATTTTCAATTATTCGGATAGATTTAATTCTGTTCATAATCGAGCATTTATACAAAGCAAAATAGTGGATCGAATAAGTAATAATAATTAAAGATAAATAGTTTTTACAGTTCTTCACTCGTATTTTTTTTTATTTTAACCCTAAAAATACAGATATTTATGTTTACAGTGATGACTTTGGGTTTTACTAGTTTTTCAGCTCACTTTATTTTTCTCAGTGCAGAGACAATGGTGCGGAGAGAAAGAAAGAGGAGAAAAGCGTGCCAAGCCTTACTGCAATTGTTTGGCAAACACCTGCGATGCTGATGCTCTCTCCCTCCTCTCATCTCATCATCTCTCCACGTTTGAGTGCCGCTCTCTGCCAATTTTCCCACTCTAAGCTGGCTTCCTCAAACAGACGCCGTTGTTGCCGTGTTTGCTGTTGTTGCTTACTATACCATTTTTTTTTCGATCGCTGCAAGTGTTGTTGACCGCTGAGTTTGACGCCGAAGCTGAAGCCAAAGCCAAAGCCTCAGGCGCTGCTCTCAAAATGCCGTTGTTCGTTGATTGAATGCAGCAGCAACAACAAGCCACGAACAACAAACAAACAACTAACAACAATGCTGCAAAGCTTCCCATTTTAGAGATGAGTAAATTATTTTAGTCAAACGGGAAATGTGGCTTAGATAAAAGCTAATGACTCGAATAGGGTGGCTTGAAATTCACATACTTTTAGAGTATTTTATTTTACTGTTTTCAGAAATCTTAAATACTAAGCTGTTCTTGAACTTGACTAAAGACAATTCTTTTTATTTTTGTTTTATTTTTTTAAAATATAATTATTTTGCAGAAGAAGAATAACCTTTTACCTTTAACATGATGAAAGCTGAAAGATTTGAAAATAAAGGAAAGATTGCTAGTAGTATAAAGGTTTTGAAAAAGTACAAAAAGTAGCAATGAACATTTCAGCGGAACGTTGCGCATCTTTAAAATTTGGTATAAAAAGCATTACTAGTTCTTATTGCTGTTCCTTTTCATCCACTTTATTTTAGAACCCTTTTTTCTGCGATAGTTATATTCTCAGCGATAGATACTACACTAAACCAACTCATCTACTAACCACAGACTAGTGTTTGTGTAGAATCCATGTTAATCACATTACGTGTGCCCGACTAATGCCCCGCCGATTCTGTGGGAATTGCTCTGATTTTTTCTTTTATCGCTATGTGCAGTTGCACCTTTGAGCTCTTAATGCAATTAGTTAGAGCTGCTTTTGCTCCTCCTCACCTGAGTTTTTCGCTCAAATGCTCTTCGACACATTATAATTTTTCCCACTGAAATGTAACTGTAATGCACATTCCATATCTTTTTAACTGTAGCGAAAACTATGATATATTAATTGGGTTGCCGGGTCTTGGGATTTCGGTGATAAAAGGTTTTCAACTGGGGCTGATTTATTCTTTTTACTGGCGAGTGCAGAGATGCAAATGAGAGTCGACACCCTTCGAAAGATGTCTTAAAGCCAGCCAGTCGGAACTTTTCAGGGGGAAGGGCGCCTTCCTCTTTGACGTTGGCCGACACTGTGGGCCCTTTTCCCTGCTTTTCCCTCTGGCCATAAACGATTCTTCTTGGCTGCCATTGTTGGCGCTGCCCTGTCATTGTCGAAAGTAACAGGTCGACTTCTTTGTCTCGAATCACCAAGAATGCAGTGATACGAAGTTAAGGTTGCAGAAATAGGAATGGAATTTTGTGGGTCCTTTAAATCAACATTCCATATGATTTTAAATAGTTATATATGTTAAAAATAATAGTAAATAAGAAAAAAGTTAACAATTTCTTTTATTTGTTGATATCTTTTTGGTAAGGGTTGATTTAAGAGTAAGAACTTCAATAGTTATAATGAACTTATATAGTTTTTTCTGAAATTTTAATATTCGTTTATGCATGACAGTTTGTCCAAAAAGAAATGATTTAGGAGTACGTGGTTAGGTTTCGAAATTTATCCATTTTCAAACACTGATTCGGTAACTGCCACATCTTTGTAACATAATTCGTATAATAGAAGTTGTACTGTACCTTCCCTGCTTATGCTGTACTTGTTACTGCATGTTGCTGTTGCAGACGACAACGATGACTTCCCACAGCCGCATCGATGCGACAACAAAACTGAGACACAGAGCTTAAGTTAAAGCCAAAGCTAAAGCCCAGAGACAGGCAGAGTTTTCCCTTTCGTTACGTGACAGCGCCCAAGCAATCACACGGCCCGAAAGGCACCATCCTACAGATACATTTGCGGAGATACATCTGCAAGAGCCACGGCTTAAACCCCGAGACAATCTGCATATCCATTCAGATCTTAACTTGGCTTTCGTTTGCCATGTGGTAAGACTACTTCGCTTTGGCATTGTTCTTAGCTCCGTTTCCCTTAACTTCATAATGACATAATTGACAGGCACTCATTTTCCGGCTGAACGCGGCAGACTTTCCCGCAATATCAAATCCATTTCCATTTCATTATAGATCTTATCAGAAAGATGGCGCGGTTCATGCAATTTTCCTTGAGTAATGTTTTCTACTATTATGTACTTTAAGATTAACTAATGTACCAAGTACTATCAATGATAGTAAGTCTTATTAATTGCATAATATTAATGTACTTATAGATTTCATTGGGTAATATATGGGTAACATGTACCTGTTCTCGAGGGTATAAAATGTTCATCATCTGGGTTTTCAGCTTGGACACTTTTCCTTTTCTTTTTTGGCTTAAGGAAAAGGAGTTGGAAGAGGGGCGTGTAATTATGATGAAACTGGCTGACTTGACTTGTCGGCTGGGCAAGTTTTTTTGGGCGCTGTTTTCGAACCGAGTGCGTGGCAGTCTTTATGGTGTTTTGATTCGGTGTTCGGCGTTTTGGGACCTGGGTTTGTCAACCTCTGGGATCTTGGATCGACGTGGGCTGGGCGACTGGCATGACGCATTCGACGTTCGACGGTTTTTGGTTTAATTGCCGCATTTCGGTTTCGCTTTTCCGAGCGAGCGGAGCGCTTATCAGTCGCTGCACTTGGCATTGGCCACATTTTCTTTTTTGGCTTGCGGTTTTTCGTTTTGGCAGCACATCCAACATCCGGTTTCGAGTTTTGCCAAACAATTTCCGTTTTCCCGATGCGCGTAGTGTAGTATCGGGAAATGAACACCCCCACACCACCGACCCACACGTATCGATTCCGAAAACCCTTCTATAAAGACATTCAATAGGTCAGGCGGGTGAGTCAGGGCCGCCTCGGAGGTTGGCGGAGTGGGTAAAAAGGGAACCTCTCTGGGGTGTGGATATCTAATTAGTCACTCAGTTGCAGGGCTTCTTCACCTTTTTTTTCGTGAAGGGTTGTCGGCCCTCAATTCCATTTCATTCAGGTGGAATTTAAATTCATTGAATGAAAGCAAGGGTTAAGATAACCAATTCAACAGCTTCATATATCTTGTGGATCTTAAAAAAAAATGATCCTAAAAAGAACCGTGTCTCAAAAGAAATTTTTTAAAATATATTTCATTGACAGTACTTGATGCACTTTGAGTTTAAAAAAAATATGTTGAACTAGATTTTAAACCGAAGAAATCATAAAAAACGTTTAACTCGAGTGATCTGCTTAAGTTTTCTATTTCCTAAGCATTCTTTTTGCATACATAGCTAATAGCTGAGAAATGCTGTAGTAGAAAATGTTATAAACTATCCCGTTCTTAAATAGTTTGTTCCACAAAAGCGACAGCCTTGGGCGAAAGAATTTCTCTCGCTTGGAGAAAGCCTTGGGCAAAGAATTTTTCTAATTGAAGCGGCGCCATGCTGAGCCATGGAATTTTTCCCATTTCCTCTCTCGGTCGTTTTTCCATTTTCCAGCTATTTTCGGTGCTTATGCAAATGACGACACTTGGCTTATCTCTTGGCTTATTCTCCGGAATAAACAATAAACAAAAGTCGTGGCCAACTAAAATGTGTGACAGTTTCATAATAGTCGAAAACTCGAAGATGCGGAGAGCTTATTCTTTCGCTTGAGAGGGGTGAGGGGATCTCCCTCAAATGTTAATCAAACATAGCTGTACAATTCCCAGAACTGGCACAATGGGAGAGTTAAGAACAGAAAAAGAGGGGCTGGGGGGATAGAGCCAAGAGGAAAATTGAAAAGAATCTGAGCGGAGCCAATTAACAAACTTGAGTTGCAGTTATTCAGCCGCGCACTCTCATTGGGGCTCTCTACCTCTCTCTCTCTCATACTCTTTTTAGAGCATCACTCTGTTGAGGTGCACTAAGAAAAACCAACCTATGTGATCCTTAAAATCATGGTATATATTATAAAATATTTTAAAATAATCAAGAATTCGTGAAAATATAGTTAAATAAATAAATCAGATTATTGTAAATATTAGATAAAAAAAACACTGACTTAAATATTACGAAACAAACAAATTAGTTGGTGTTAGTTTTGATCGTTATGAATTTCTGGATATAGCTGGTAAAGAGGAAATGAAACGTTTTTCTGAGGTCCGAAATCTCCATCCTTCTAGCTGATACCAGTTACCTCCGAATTTATCTCAAGGGTCTCAGCCATTTTCATATACAATCCTTAAGTATTTATGTTTTCAAGATCTCTAAGATGATGATAGGCTCGAAATAAAATTACCATAATGGGATGGGTTTAAAACAGATCTTCCTTTAAGGTATGACATCCATATAGTAAGTTACGGGTTTCTTAAAGTTAACCGATCTCTTACCATATCAGCACTCTCCCGCTTCTTGAAGCCTCTCTCTGGCACTCTCCCCAAACATATCTCATTCTCTCTCGGCTTGGAGCTGCGGGCTTTGGGTCTGTGTGCTTTTCTTCAGTTCGCTCGCGGACTTTGAATAAGCCGGTTGTGTCGCTGGTTCGGTTCGAGTTTAGAGCTCTTTCGCCTGGTTCGTTTGTTATTGTTTGTGTGTGAAAGTAGCGGCGTGCAGCAGAAGCGAATTGCATAAATTGGGAAGCCGAAGCCTTTATACATACTACACTACCTGGTGATTTTCGAATTTCTTCCATCGTTCGGGTGTGCGAAAAAGATAAGTGTGTTTTCCAACGGATGACGCACAAATAAATGCGTTTTGGCCATGTCTATGTCCTTAATTTCGAGAGGCACGCCCACGCCACGCGAGTGCAGAGATACAGATACGAATCCAGCGGATAGTGCTAATAAAGATACATGGCCGCAATGGGATTAGCCGATTTCGAGCTGAGTGTAAGTTGCTAAACGATTTGGGCCATTTATTTTACGGCTTCTTCGTCGGCTTCAGCGGATTTCTAGTTAATAATTAAGACAAAAGGCGAAAGATAAAAGCCACAGATACAGATACAGATGCAGATACTCAAAGATTCAGATACAGAAAACGGCGCTTGGGTGAAATTCCATTTCTCTTTTACTTTTATATTTCGTTTGGCAGCGCCAATCGCTTCGTTAAAAGTGAAAATCCAAGTGACAATCAATTAAAATTCGAGACCAGTCGAAAATCGATTTTCAGTTTCAAGCGGGCCAACATTTTGTTCTAATTTTGCCCACAATTTCGTTGCGGCCACCACCGTCTTCTCCTCTTTCGCTGGTTTTATTTTTATTTACGGTACTCACGCTGCCGAGGCTTAACCCAAATTCACTTGTTGCATGTGCTGAATAAGCAAAAAATCGTTAAGAAAAAGAAGCGTTGAAGAAAAATGAAAATTTTCGTCGTTTTTAGTATTGTTGTCACAGTCGTCGATGCCTTTCTATGGCTTTGCCTTAATGCCATGCGACTGGGTCAAAACCCCCCTGTAAAACCCCCCTCCCAACCATTTTCCATATTGGGTCGAACTCGAATTACAAATTAAAAAAAATTAAATAAAATAAAATACGAAATAAGAAGCGTTGACAGCTTCAGTTGTCAACTAAACTAAACAAATTCATCAGCACCAGCCACATATGCCATAATGAGCTGTGCTTGCCTTTAAACGTTTTTGGAAAATTTATTATCGACACTCGGGAAATCTCATTTCCAATTCAATTCCCCTGTCATGGGGGTTTTGTAATGCAAAATCTCGTTCCAAAATCGATTTCGTACTGTTTAGGCGTGTGTCCAAAAAAACACCAAACAGAAACACTAATAATAACAAAGCCAGTTTGTACCTGTTAGTACTGTTAAGCAGTCTTCTGCTCATAAATGGTCAAGTAATTTGTGTTATTTTTGGCACCTTATTTCGAGGAAGCCGGGTAACATGATTAGTGATTGGTTTGGAAAGTGAATCTTTTTTATTAGTGCTTCAAAAGAAATACCTTTTTTTAAACAGAAACTGTTTTTTTTTTTTTTAATAATGAGTCTGGAGTTTTTTTTATAGCACCCCCATAAAATATCAATTATTTCTTAGGAAGATTTCTAAATGTTAGGATAATTTGTTTGTTAAATGCTTTTTGTTACTTCTGAGTAACTATAAACATTTTTGGGATGATTTATATATTATTATTTCAAAACTGTAGGGCATTTGTCATTCCTCATTTCCATAACCCCCCTAAATATACCTTTCCTACGTAGAGTGCGAAAATTAAATCGCTCACTTGAACCACAAAAAACAGAAAAATAAAAATAATAAAAGCAAAAATATCCCCCGTCTGTGGACGTGCGTGGGCCGATCAAGTGAAAAAGCATCGGATCGGCCAAGGGTATACTATGGGCTGATATATGCTCATGCTGATGTGTGTGCCCGTGGAGTTTATATAGCTGGCGACCTTGTTTTCGGTTTGATTTCATGTGCGTGCGGCAAGCGCTTCGGTGTTTCCTGCCCCGCCGAATTCCCCAAATGCTGGATCTTAAATGGCAGGTTCGCTTCTGTGTATGTTGTGATTTTTCTCTATGTTTTTTTGTTTTTTCGGAGGCAAACGACCGATTAGAAATCGTAAGTTTCATTGTTGCCCAGTGGTCGGTGTATTGCCCCCTTCAACCTTCCACCCTTCACCTCTCCAGTCCACAAGATTCGACTTCAAAGCGGGCGCCAATTATCAATTTATGAATTGCCGCGGGCCGAATCAAAGTGGTCCATCATCATTACCATTAGTTAACTGAAATTACTCCGACTTGATATACTAATAAATGTTTTTCTCTCTTCTTCTCATTGCAGGTAAATGGAAAATTTGTTTGGTTTAATCGAAATTTGTAGAACTTTTCCAAGAGAAATTATTCCACATAATGTATCTTGTGGATACAGGCGCACACGTGTCAATATCTGTCCGCACTCGCCTCCCTTTTTGCAATTGCATGCCAATTTCAAATACAAATTCTGTTATTTGTTATTTTTTTCCGAAAATATGTGCGCAAATCGAAAAGCTTTCTAATCGCTTTTACGCCTGAGCTGGGCGGAGCGTTTTTCCTTCCTAGCATTGCAGTTTGCGTCTTGGCAGCGCCTTGACATCGTCGCTTTTTATATTCGATATAACCAATCCGTATATACGAGTGTGTATCTATGAGATGAGTCCATAGAGGTGGAAGTGGGTGCCTGGTGCTTTTTATTGTGACAAATATTTGGCCAGATTTCCCACAGCGACGGATATTTGCGTTGTGTGATTTTTCTCTTGGAAAATGAGTATACAATTTTTCACATATTTCTACAGTGAGATAACGAAAAGAAAGAAATTAAAATATCACATGCTGCAAGTGTGTAACTTTCGGTGTACGTATTTCAAAACAAATGCAGTTTGTGTAAAATAACGTAAGCAAAACAATAGTAAACCGTATTATGGCATTGACTATGAATATGGTGTTTCTCAAGGATTTACGTTCGCGCCTCAAGGGATATCTACACGTATGTATTGGAGGGTATTCGTAAAATGTATGATTTGGGGATCTAAGTTTTTAAATTTATTTAAACATTTAGGTTACAGAAATTCGTATCTACCGAATTTTTCATCCATATATAAGCCAAATTTTCCCCTTGTAACCAAAAATTCCAACTAAGTGTACAGGAAATATTTGTTATTAATAATAATTACCGCAGTTAAAGTCCTTATGTCTGTGTACATTCTCTTAAGCCTTGGTTAATTAGCCAATTTAGTCAAAGAAGCTGATAAGTAAGTCGCAAAGACTGAACGTTCTCACTTGATCTGCCCCTTTCTCTTTGTACTTGCACTCTGATTTTCTGCCCACACACATAAATACCCTGCGTCAAAAAGAAATTCATAAATTGTTAACAATTTATTGAAGTTTCTGACACCGCCTCGGCTCATTCCCTTGGTTGAGTTGCATTTTTGTGCAACTTTCTCAGACAGCTGCTGTCATCATGCATGTAGCGCTTATATATCGCCTTTGTCTCAATGCAACCGCACCGAATCCCGACGTATAATGAACATGTCGCTATATCGCATATTATGCTGATTATTCAAGTATGTTGTGTCAGTTTTTTTACCATTGCTCCGCTATGCTAGGTCTGCATTTTCCTTCGCCTTTCTGTAATCACGTTATGCAATCTCATTTGGCTTTATTATGGTTATCATCATCAAGATGTTTTCAAGAATGCGCCGCTAAAATTTCACATGCGACTAACATTTCCCAGGCGAAAATAAGTCGTACTCAAGCAAAATACAAAACCTTAGAGGTACATTTTGTTTTAAGAGGTATGCATAGCCCAAATACAATTTCGTTATCAGAAATACATGTAGTTTATCATACACTTAAAATAAAAAATTAAAATGCTACAGGAATGAAATTATTTTTAGATGTTCAGGAATGAAATTATTTTTAGATGTTCAATAATTTTTATTTCAAGTTTTTTTAAGCCATCATTTTATTTTATTAAGATGTTTATTTTACTTTAAAACCTGGGTTTTAATTTATAAAAACCGTCTACTTGTAATACAACAATTAATAAAAATTACCTTATGAATTCAGAAATGTTTTTAAAATTTAAGAGTATCTTAACTTGTAATACCATGTATCTATAACCGATGTTTAAAAGTTTTAAATAGTATTTCATCTCTAGAAAAACCTTTAACATGATATTAGGCTAGGGAACCTCATATGCAGTATATTTTCCTCTGTGCCTTTGTGGATTTGCTTGATGGTTCGTCTGAGTAAATAGAAGCGTTGGGAGGTGGGTGGTTGAGTGGAAAATAAAAGAGTGTGGGTTGACTTTTGGGGCTTACAACTCGCTCGTTCGAGCTGCCTGTTTGATGCAGTTGGTCGCTCTCTGTCGATTTTGATTTGCAGCTAATTGGCAATTAGCAGGATTCACTTAAAATCGCATTATCCCATCAAAGGCACTTGTTTCATCTCCATCTCCATCTTCATCGAAGGGATCCAAATGTTTCGGCCCTAGCCAAGGTTGCGTTCGCAGCGAATTGAGTTGCGTGGTTTGAGCTTATCGACGGCGAACGAACCTGTTGCTGCTAAAACGATTGCCGTTCGTCACGATTCGCTTTTCGTTTTTCGATTTTCCCCCCAGCAATACCCCCCACACAAACACACACCGGTGCAGGTCCAGCCCCTCGTTATAAGGTGGATGTTCTCAGTAACTGTTCGGCTATAGACGGGCGTAGTTAATTCCTATTTCCCACCGGAGCTCGATAGCGGTGACTCAGTGGTGTCACCTAATTATTGGTTATTAATCTCAACAAGTGTTGCAAATATTAACATAATTATCTCTCGAGTGCCAGTCATTCAAATAGGATAATTAACGACCCCTATTGAAGGGGGGAAAATAAATAAAATTCCAACCAGTCAGGGTGAAAAAGTGAATCGAAATATGTGCCAACTTCCGTGTGTGTAAACAAGAGGCTCTGGAAGTCTAAGTTTCTTGCCAAACTTATCAGTTGGCCGCCCGGTTCTTTGATAAGAAAACGTTACGCACTCTTTTATTATTTCCCTGCCAACTCAGGGCCGCATTTTTAGTGGAAGGGCGCCTCAGGAAATAACTAAATAGTTTCACGGTCGAAATAGCTTTAAAAATAAAGAAAATCAATAGAAAATATTGATAAATGTTGATAAGACAAAGAAATAATACGTGACTAATTCGTTTTAAAAACTGAAAAATTCAAAGTTTCAAGGTCTCAATGGCTTCGAATTTATGTCAATCAAACGAAAATATTGACAAAAGTTATTAGAATGCAATATGTATATGTGAAGCTATGACTACAAAAATTTCACACGAATAACAAAAAGGTTTTAGATTCTCAATGACTTAAAAATAAAGTAAATCAATAATTCATTTCTAAAGAAAGTTCAAAAAATGCAAATCCTATTCGCGACATTCCTTAATGAAAAATTCCCACCGTAGCTCGCCATACTGGTACGGTTTTAAAAATATTTACAATGAGTTTCCCATAAACAATTGTTTATTGAAAAGTGTTTACTCTGTACCTCTCTGCACTTGCCACTTTGTTTGGGCCTACATATATGCATATGTTTTGCAGACCGTAGATTTCAACGGGAATTGAAAATAAACATATTCAATCGATAGCACAACTGGGCAACTTTTGTTGTCTACGGCTCATTGTGTAATTATGTGTATTCGACCCTTAAATACAGAATTTGTGGAAATTAAAGCGATTAAATATGTTGTTCTCAAGAACATTAAAATAAATTTATGTATTTCTGACAGATAAGAATGAACTTGAACTTAAATAAAGAGTGTAGTTTACAAGATGATTTTAAATGACGTCAAAAGTAAAATCAAAAGATTTTAAAATAATAGATTACAGATTCGTAGGATATAGTAAATAAAGACGTTCTTTGCATTTTTCTTTCCCAACTGACTTTCCATCTGAGCAAACTTTCGCCTATCAAACAAATCGCCTAACAACATTCTGATACATAAATTCATTGAGAAAGTGTATCGTAGACAATGGCATTCAATTGAAGTCGTCGATCGATTAGAATTCCAATTTGCATAGCAATTATCGTCGGGTTGTTCGCCAGCTTCAAGTGACACCTTTGACGACTTTTCCCGGCCAAGAAACGAGTGTTTCGAGCCGCAATGCATTGAGTGCTTATCAGACAGAAGCAATCGAGAACCGTTTAATGAGAAAGCCAAAGAAACTTGTTGAACTACAAGAAAAAGAGGCACAAAAAGGCAGAGGAACCTGGCGAGGCAGGGGAAATACATTTTCTAGATAAACGGCAGTTGGAGTCGTGTGAATAAAAGTGTGTATTTGTCTTTTTTGTGGGTCAGGCTGTTCCAGCTAATTACCGTGAACTTGTCAGCGGACACAAAACGGCTGTAAAATGACCAAAGTGAGGTAATAAAGCCGACGACTTAACAAGAAATCCGAGTGAATAATGTCCAGGCTGGTGAAAAGAATCCGCAGCATGATCAATCCAAACAGCCAGCGGGATCGGGAGGACTCCACCTCGATATCCACTTCGGAGGGCGGGGGTGCTCACAGGAAGTGCCACTCCTTGCCGCGCCGGTACAGTAAACGCTCGGCGGCGCGACGGTCGAACAGTGGTCTGTGGAACAGACTGGTCACAAATGTCTTTGGTCCTGAAGATGCAGATGATCTTAACGATGATGGTGACAGTGTTGGTGGTGCCATATTTTACACCGATTCGGTTAATGGTTCCAACTATGTGATATCTGGAGAAGTGAGTTGGAAAACTGCAGAAATACAACTATTTCTAACTGAAAATGGGAGATTTCAGAAAATTTTATAAAAACTAAGTTGGTTCTTATGTTTGTTTATAATAGGTTACATAACCTTGAATCTTTGGTCTTTTCCTTTTAGATAGAATATTTGATTGTAAACCAAACTGTTTTTGATTTGTAGATTCCATAATGTTAGTTCTCCATTTTGATTAAACATAAAACATCAAAAATTTTGGTTTAAATCCCGATATTCTCGTTGTAATGGTTATAGGAAAAAACATTACAGAACTGAAAATAAACATTTAAATTTTAAAGGAAATGAATAATTTGAATATTTCTGAACTCATTAAGTATACCCATATGGGTTTTTTGGGTGATAAATACTTTCAACAATATACTTTAAGAATATTTATATTTTAGGAAGTACTTCCTAATTTTACAGAAATTACTAAGTAATCATTAGGTTTTTTTGGGCTGATAAATTACATAATTATAGAAAATATATAATATTTTGCTTATAACTTTGAGAGAAATTACTAAGAACATATTGTTTTGCTTTCCCATTCCCATTCCCAGGGCGAATACATAAAGCATCCCGTTCTGTACGAACTCAGTCACAAATATGGTTTCACAGAGAATTTGCCCGAAAGCTGTATGTCCATACGGCTGGAGGAGATCAAGGAGGCCATTCGGCGGGAGATCCGGAAGGAGCTGAAGATCAAGGAGGGCGCCGAGAAGCTGCGCGAGGTGGCCAAGGACCGGCGGTCCCTCAGCGATGTGGCCGTTCTTGTGAAGAAGAGCAAAAGCAAACTGGCCGAGCTGAAGTCCGAGTTGCAGGAGCTCGAGAGTCAAATCCTCCTGACATCGGCCAACACCGCCGTCAATAGCAATGGACAAGGTGAGTACTGGTCTCCTACACTGGTCGGCATATGTATTTTGACAAAATAAAAGTTAAGTATACTCATAACTTGAATTTACTTCTTGTAAACTATAGGCATCAATGGAAAGGTAATTTCAATGCCGTTTGAATGATACAATACATTTCTTTACCCATTCAGTACTTATTGAAAAGGACGAATTTGTGTAAATCAACTTTGAAATTTTAAAAAAAAACTTTTTTCCTCGTCTTGAAAACTTAAATTTTTTGATGCAAAAAGTTTCTTCAAACAAAAACAATAGTAACTGCAAAAAGAATTTTTCAAAAATCATTTTGCTTATATTTTTTATGATTTTTTGAAGGTGACAATGTCGGAAAAAATTTGTATGAAAAAGACAAAAATATGGCTCAAATGCCTGTTTTTAAGCATTTTCAAAAATTCATAAAAAATATAAGAAAAATGATTTTTGAAAAATTCTTTTTGCAGTTACTATTGTTTTTGTTTGAAGAAACTTTTTGCATCAAAAAATTTAAGTTTTCAAGACGAGGAAAAAAGTTTTTTTTTAAAATTTCAAAGTTGATTTACACAAATTCGTCCTTTTCAATAAGTACTGAATGGGTAAAGAAATGTATTGTATCATTCAAACGGCATTGAAATTACCTTTCCATTGATGCCTATAGTTTACAAGAAGTAAATTCAAGTTATGAGTATACTTAACTTTTATTTTGTCAAAATACATATGCCGACCAGTGTATTTCTCGCTGAGATTGGGTAACTCTTTCCTAGCGCCGTCTCGCTTTTCGTTTCGAAAATCCATTAAAAGCCAAACTTTCGAAAAGCCAATCATAAACTGTTGCAATTATACGAGAGCCAAAGTTGAGCATATTTTCATGCAACAAGTTTTGTGGGCAAGTGTAACGAGACAAGTGTATTCCCAATGAAAACGAAGGGCGCGCTTAGGGGGCGGGGCCACTAACGAAGCTATAGTCAAAACAAACTACAGGGAAAAGTTTCGGCAGGGCAATGAAGTTGAAATACCTTTTTGGGCAGAAGATGAAGTTAAGGTCATGGGGGAGTTGTTACTTAATTAAGTTTCTTGTTTCAAAGTTTTATTTGATCAACTAAAGTATCAGTTTGATAACTATAGGTAATATTATTTAATTTATAAATAATATAAGCAGCATTAGCTATAGTTATGTATATCAATTTCCAATAAAATAGTCAGATCAACAGATAAACTTTATAGGTTCCGTTATATAATGATAATATATTTATAAACTAATTTATACTATTATGTTAAATATGGAATCAAAAGTTAGTTTTCTAAAGTTATTAGGGATTGGTATTGGTGAATATTGGTATTTCTAGTTCAATAAAACTAACAAACCAATAAGAGTTTAAACATACAAACTTACCTGCCGGTAAACAAACAATAAAAATGAAAGTACTCCCTTCAAAAGAGTATCTTCAATCAAACCGAATGTTGAAATTGTTCAGGTCTTTAAGAATGGTTAAGTCCGTCTTTAACGAGTCATTGTCACGCACTTGCTTTTACCACACTTTTCTTGGCCCATCACTTAATGCTTCATGGTGACAAAAGTGAAAAAAAAACATTGTGTTAGGTGTGAAAGATCTGATTACCGCGTTATATATGCCCTCGTATCTTTGACAAAACACTTTGTGATAGACTTGGCGACAAACGAAATGTTTTCTTCATTTCCTTTTCAATAATTTATGTGATCCAACCTATTGACACAACTGGCGTAAAATGTGCTACGTTCGGTTTGTTTACATTTTCGATTGGAGACAGCGCTCTGACATTCTTTCTATCTGCTTCCGTGTTTGGCCAATCCCCCGAGCAGAAGTATTCGACCCAGAAGAACCGACCATCGACTGCATTGTGTGGCGCCAAAGTCGACTTTCCATATGTCAGGCGATTGACATGTTTGGCAGCTGTCAAAGAATGCTGCACAAATGCCTATTCTCTTTGAATAGATAGATGGTGCATATAGCACATGCACACATATACGTATTGTTAGTTAGAGCCAAACAAATAAGCCATAGAAAAGCAAACAAACCAAGAAAATTGAAAGGGCAAGCTTTCGAGCTATTTGTTTGGCAATTTATTGATCAACGATGGTGTTGCCTTAAATGGTTTTCTAAATTCACATTTTTTCTTTGGGCAGCTATCAACTAACAGTAGTTACTATAAATTAAAGGTATAAATTAACAGCAAATTGTGAAATTGGCCCCTGACGTAGTTCCTAAATCGTCATTTAATTTTTGTTGTTATCGCGGGGCTTACAAGCCCTTCATTCTACACCGCAGTTATACGATTAGCAACGGTTTTATTGCTTGCAATTTATTATCAAAATTAGAAAATGTTGCTTGCTTTTCACAAATGAGAAATATGGTAATGCAAAGTAGTGGTTAGTGGAAACTAGTATAATTTATTTTTATAATCAGTGAACAAACATGCAATTATTTAAAACTGGGTTTTATTTTATGTTTTTCTACCCCTCACTCGTAGACAAAAAGGTGCCACGCCCACTCTAACGCCCACAGACGCCCTTAATGCTATTTTATTATATTATATTTTGTAATATAATATAATTATATATACTAGTAAATTATATACATGCCAAAAATTGTTTTAAATCCCACCATTGGTTTAAAACTTATAAGGAAACAAAGTGTGCAATCTTAGAAACAGCTGATTTGCTGCATGCATATACCCATCTCTCTCGCACTACCTTTAGCAGAGTAACGCGTATCTAATAGTTGAGGTCTTTTGACCAATTCGTTTTTTCTTCATTAGTTTTAGACATTTTTCAATAATACAAATGTACCTCTTTTAAAATTCCGATTTGTTTCTTGCAGAATCGATAACTGCATGCATCGATCCCAATGGCGGTTTCTTGGTCAGCGGAGCGGTTGGCGGCCTGGGCGGCGGAAACACGGCTCTCGATGGCGGCGCACCAGCCACCGCCAATGACAAAGTGCTCGCCTCGCTGGAGAAGCAACTGCAGATCGAGATGAAGGTGAAGACCGGGGCGGAGAACATGATCCAGTCGCTGGGCATTGGCTGCGACAAGAAGCTGCTGGCGGAAGCCCACCAGATGCTGGCCGATTCGAAGGCCAAGATTGAGTTTTTGCGCCTGCGCATCATCAAGGTGAAACAGAATCGCGAGCAGGCCGATCGACTGAAGGCCTCCCGCCAGATGATCGACGAGCATGGACAGACGATTGGTGGCACCAATAGCCAGCCGGCGAGCCTGGAGACGACGCTCGAGGAGCGGATCGAGGAGCTGCGTCATCGACTGCGGATCGAGGCGGCCGTCGTCGATGGGGCCAAGAATGTGATCCGCACGCTGCAGACGGCGAATCGGGCACCGGACAAGAAGGCGCTGCAAGAGGTAAGTCTTAAAAGTATTTTAATATTCCGGGGGGAGTTACCCAAAAATATTTTGAGCGAACCTGTACACAATTACTCTGACTCAGGGAATCATTAAAAATGTATTTATGTTCGGGAGCCATGTGTGGAAATCTTTATAAAATACATGACGTAGTAATATTTTACAACAGTTTTGAAGTGAAACACCATATAATTGTAATACCCTAAACAATTAACTATAAGACAGCTATCTAGTTTCTATAATCTTATCAAAATCTTACATTTAAATTATAAAATGGTCCACAATGATTTCAATTATTTCAAAATTGATCCTTTCTAAGTTTTAATTTTTAAAATGTTAGACCAAACCGTAAATATTCCAATACGTGACCAACCTGGTATATAAAAAAACCAAGATTCCTAAAGATTCCCAAATTATGCTAATCCCAGAGTTAATTAGAGCTGGCTGGTGGCCAGGTACCCGTAAAGCCCTGCAAGTGCTCCCCCGTTTAGCCGAAATCAGGTGTGTCTGCTGCCATATGGCCACACGACGTATGATTCATATTTGATATACCCGTGCGTATACGTGATTTTTGCCCAACTTGTGGCAAACTCAAGTGAAACGGGAAGCGGGAAGGAGGAAAAGCTAATTATGCGGCTGCTTGAAATATTTTTCAACGCTCTCTGTTTGTCCGATTTCGTTTTAATTTCGAGACTTTTTTCTTCTGCCGCTAACTGTCGTCTCATTAATTAAATGGACGTGGAACGTCGCAATTACTTGGGCCCAAGAAAAATGATTTGGCAAGTGTGCTCAGGGCCTGCCCTAATAATTTTGGCATAGGTTTTTGTTTTATTTTAAAATATTTTAGTTAATGGCAGTGCTGACAGCAAAGTAGTCCCAAAATATACGTAAAACGAGCGTATTTTTCACAGTATTTCACCATGCATTTATGCAAGAGGAGATATACATTTTTTTTGTAGCATTTCCCAATGCCTGCGTTTCCTGTCGCGTGGCAAACTCACTTTTTTTGTATCTCTTTGTGATTTATCTTTTCACCGATGCTCATGCGGTTTTTGTCTTTGGATTCAACATGAGCAGACACTTTACTTCCGCAGCAGCAGCTACTACCACAATATGTTGTCCGGGCTGTGGCCTAAATATTCTATTTGCAGGCCCCATTCTCATATTTATTTGTTCTGCGCTGCGGTTGCATCTGTCAGATGCAGAAATAAGAAAGTTCTCAGTAGCAGTTCGTTTTTAAAACCACAAGAAAAAAATTGAATTTAACGAACCAGTGAAAGATTGCGGGTCTTTAATCATAAAAACAGATTTTTAACGGAATTTACTAAATCTAAATCAATTAAAAATGATCTTTACATAAAAGGAACTGATCCTACTCGATTTAAACATAACTTTCTAATATATCAAGCATAAAATAGTATACTTTCATAAATTTATTAATAAAATTAAAAACATCATCACGAACTTATAGCTTTTTTTTCGCTGTGCATCTAAATATCGCCGAACTTATTATACGATCGGTTAAACAATAAACACAAAACTTTTGCCGATGCCCTTTTGGCCATTTGGAAGCGTTTTGCTTAACATTTTTAGAACTATGCTGCCCGCTGGCACACAAACATTGGCTATACTTACGTATAAACACGTCTAAACATCTGTATGTGCCTCTGTTTGATCGGGCGAAAACGACAAACGTATAAACCATCATAAGAAACGGAGCGCAAAGTTCTATGGCCAGCATATGGGGGAAAACTTGTTGTTAGCCGCCGTTTTGTTGATGTGAATATACTACATACAGATGTTCGCTTCTCTGGCGAATTTTCCCAAGCAGCTTTTCCTTGGCGTTCAGTGCGAGTTGGATTGCCGTTGGCTACGTGCTACGCCGCCCGGTGTTTCCCGATATTTTATAATTTTTTTAATTGCCGCGTCTTGCGTCGCGTTCGTGTTTCTTTGTTTTCTTGTGATCTATGAAACTCTATGAATGCGTAATGAAATAATAATACAAATAACAATGAACTAATCAAAGTGAACTCGAGAAAAGCACGCTCGCCACACACACAGTGTACATAAGCCGAATCGCAAGTCTGAGCTTGCCATTAGCTCTTCGACATTACGCATACGCAGCGTGTGCCGCAGGTTTTCTTCGCTTTCATCCACCTGAAATTGCGTAATTTTCCGTTTGGATTGTCCGTTCTTCTCGCGATCCCCCAGATTTGGCTTTTGGGGTCATCTTGCAATTTTAGCGTAACGAAATAGAAATCATGTTAAAAATAAAATCACATAAATTTAGAAACACACATTTTACAAAGGCTAAGAAAAACCGAAAGTGTTTTCGTTCCACCCCATCCATCTTTTAACCCCGCGTTATAATTGTGTGTGCGTTGGCTGAATGAAGCTAAAAATACGTGAAAATAAAAAGCAAATTTATATAGTTGAAACTGCCTGTGAAGAATGTTTTTGTTAATAAAAAATAATTAATTTTTTAAGGACAGAGAAGTCTAGAAATATAAGGAACAGCTAAAAGAATTTAAAGTGCAATCCCGTGTAATGCAAACATTGAAAAGAATGCCTTGAATTTGTTTAAAATACGAAAAATTCAAAGGAAAAGAAAAAGTTCCAAATTATTATAAACAACCTGTGGCGATGTTACGGCGATTGTTGATATAAAATTACTACTAAATAGTTAGGATTCCATGGGCATTTTCAACTGTAGCCGTTGGCTTATGATAAATATTTGCTTGAATTCTGCTCAACAATAGGAACTACCAAGACGGTTTCTCGATATTTTTAGCAAGAATATAAAGTTCGTGTGGTGACGTACATACAGATCTATGTAGTATATAGTGCGTGAGTGTATTTTTATGAATCTATGGATGGCACCTTGAGCCACACCATAACCACAGCCAAAATGTGTTCATAGTGCGACCGCATCAAAAGTGCGTAGGGAGTCATGAGCACGCCGACGGCCACGCCCACTGCGGGGGCGGTTCCGGGACAGCAGGTTCCACTGCCCCACGAACTGACCGCCGAGTGGACGGTGCGAGCACATCTCACTTTTGCCAGAGCCGGTGAGCATGTGCAAAAGGAGTTTAGTGCTCCGGAGGCAGTGCATCCTATGCGCGTGGTCTACAAATGGTGTACGCCCTGCGAGGAACCCGAAACAGAACAGGATGTGGACAAGGTAAGTTTTGTGGAGTGATCTGCCAAACTTAATTAACACTTGTTGCAATCCTTTACAGACACAAGCTACTGCGGGAACCAGCTTTCGCTCCACAAACTCCTCGGCCACCACTAATGCAGATTCGGCCTTTGGCAGTCCACATGCTTCCAGGGCTCTTAATAAACCACTAGTGGCAAGCAATACTGCTGCGCCTTCTGGAGCCACTGCCCAAGTGTGTGGCACTCGTTGCCGGAGCACATGCAACATCATGGTGTCCGCAGTGGCAGATTTCCTACCCCAGGAAGGGGGAGCCACTGGGTCAGTGAATGAGCCCTTTGTTTACCACAGCAAAGTGCGGGCCCAGCAGCTCAGGGATGCCTTCTCCCAGACAAGTGATACGGAGGAGCAGCCAGCCAAGAGACGACCTGCCTACGAGCAACGAAGGGCCACCACCGAGGCGCTGATGAACTTTGCCAGCAAGCGGCAGGCGGAGGAGGCTAACACTTATGTGGTGGGTATTGAATTCCCCATTTAATTACTTTCTCTCTCTAACCAATTTAAATCCACAGCCAACCTACTCGCCCACGCCCACAACACCCTCGTCTACATTCAAATCCGCTTCGATGTCAAGGATACCACCACTAGCTGGCAACTTGGGCCAAGGAGCAGCACCCAGGATACCCAACTTGGGGGAGAAGAAGCCTCGCACTGTTCACATCGACGTCTACTGCACGGGATCCGAGGGAGATGAGGAGGAGGAGGCGGATGATGAGCGGCAGGCTGATGAAGAGGTCTCCAGTTCCTCTGATTCCGAGCTGGCTGGCAGCAAGCGCTACGAACTGGACTCGAATTCCACACCGCAAACCGTGTTGGATAATGAACAGATGCTGCTGCGCCATCAAAGAATCTCTGGAGGAGCCATGCCCAGGCGATTGGCGCAAAATCAGGCAAAAAAGAATCAAGTGGAAAACCAACAGCCAGATAATCTAAATCTAGGTCATGCCATTACCAAATGCAGCACAGCCGAGGAAGTGTGCGAGTCCAAGCAGCTACTGTTCCGCAAACACATTGGTGATCAGCGGGCGGCCAAGTTGGCCACTCTCCGCCAGAAATACATGCGCCAGCCTAGCGATGAGACGAGTAGCAGCACTTACCCCAACTCCTCGAGGTCAACGATGCCCAGGGATGCCACCTGCAGCAGCATATCGAGTGTCATGGGTGGAACGGATTGCGTGGACTCGTCATGGAAGGAAACAGACGACCTAGACACACCGATAGTGTCCTTTGGATTGACCAAATCCGATAGCTTTGAGTACGAAAACTCGCTAGACCGCCTGCGCATAAGCCAGATGGAGCGCCTATGGTCCCGTCAGCACTCCATGGACCAGAGTCACCTGCAAACTCACCTTGGAGCCCCAACCCCACATCACCTGCAAACGATCACGGAGGTGCAGTCCCAACGCAGCTCCTTCCAGCGCAGCGATACCATCCCATCGGAATCGGATGGCTTCTCGGATGCCAATGGATTTAATACCTATCCGGGAAGGCAGTCCCAGTCGCATTTGCAGCAGATCTCGCATTTCCCACGCAATCGTCCTGGTTTTCTGCAGTTCTTTGGACCAACTGGCGAACCAGGAGGCGTTGCTCAACCAACTCCGCCAGCCACGGCTCCAGTTCAACCCGCTGCAGCCGCTACTACGGATCCGTTCCGCCTACTCCATCCGAGTTTCCGATGGAAGAGTGAGGCACGCGACAACCTAAGTGTACAGGTGGCCTCCGGATCACCCTCCTCAGAGCGCAGTTCCCCGCAGCTCTTGTCGGCTGCCACCACAGTGGTGCGTTGCGGCAGCGAGGCGCCACCAAGCACCACTTCGGCCAGTACTTTTGGGACCACAGTGACGCCTTCGCCAGTGCCAGTGCGACGTTTTGAAATATCACGCGACAGCCCAAGTCTTGCAAGTGAGGCCTCTACTTCCGTTTCCGGTTACACCCACGAGCACTTGGAGAAGGCTCGTCGCTTTGGCAATGTGGTTGCCATGAGGAAACCCGGCCACCATGTAGGTCCCACCAAGAATCCCAATTGCCAGTGTGAGAGCTGTCAACGTTGGCTGGCCGAGAGATTTCAGCTGCGCGGCAGAGCCTTCTCACTGGGCGAGAAGCCCCTAAGGCGTCCACAGTAGTGGAATCACTTCTGGATTTACTACCTATTCTATGTCTAAGGCTTGCATTTAACACATTGCTTTTGAGATTGATACGCACCCAATTAACCCAAACCCCAAATCCGAACCCAAAAACAAACTTTCTTTCGATTAGTTGTAAGCCATATAAGCGAATATGTTCCTCACGCAAAACACAAATTGTGCGCTGAATCAGTTTAATGTTGTAATAAAGTAAAACAATAGATTTAATCAGAAAATTATGTTTTATTTCGGTTGCTTAAGCACAATTATATAAAGAAAGTATTTAATTTTAAGAGTTGGGATGGCAGAAAATTTGTTGTTATGTTAATGAATCTATATATCATATGAAATTGAGAGCTTTATTTTCTGGGTATATTTAAAGAACTTTCAAGATATGTACGTACGTATGTCTGAAAGTAGTTTTTGTAGTAATTAAACAAACATAACGCAGTTGTGTACAGGAGGGTAATTAAATTAAAACTTTATTAAGGTTTCAAAATATTAATAAATTTTCTTTTAAAAACCCAGGCCCATGGACGTTTGTCGGAGTCGTCGCGAAAACTAGATCTCTTGCGCTACTCCCTGGAGCTACGTCGCCAGGAGCTGCCCGTCGATTCGCCCGCCGCCCAGCTATTAAAAACGGAGCTGCAGATCGTCCAGCAATCGACATCCCCCGCTCCCGTCACCTACACGTCACTGCAAACCGGCCAGGGAGGATTACTTGGTGGGAAGCCCTACCAGTCGGTATCCTCTCTAGGACGATGTGCCAGTGTCACCGGAAAACTAGAGGTTCGCCTACTGGGATGCCAAGATCTCCTAGAAGATGTGCCCGGCAGATCACGAAGGGACAAGGATAACAACTCCAGTCCCGGTGATTTGAGGAGCTTCGTCAAGGGCGTCACCTCGCGCAGCAGTTCGAAGAGCTATTCGGTTAAGGATGAGACCTCCATCGAGATCATGGCAGCCATCAAGCTGGACAACATCACCGTGGGCCAGACATCGTGGAAGCCATGTTCGCAGCAGGCCTGGGATCAGCGCTTCTCCATCGATCTAGACCGTTCGCGTGAACTGGAGATCGGAGTTTACTGGCGCGACTGGCGGTCCCTGTGCGCCGTGAAGGTGCTGCGCCTGGAGGAGTTCATTGATGATGTACGACATGGCATGGCGCTGCAGCTTGAACCGCAGGGACTACTCTTCGCGGAGGTCAAGTTCTTGAACCCCATGATTTCGCAGAAGCCCAAGCTGCGGCGACAGCGTATGATCTTCAACAGGCAGCAGGCGAAAAACATCTCGCGGGCCAAGCAAATGAACATCAATGTGGCCACCTGGGGCCGTCTGCTCAAGCGAAATGCTCCGAATCATGTGCACATGGGATCGGTGGGATCTGCATCTTCCATAACAGGTGCCTCTCCCATGGTGGTCGGTGGATCCCGAGATTCCGAGTCGCCGATTTCGAGGACTCCCTCCTCCGATGCGCTCGTGGAACCGGAGCCCTACACTCCAGGAGAGCAGGCCCAGAACCTGGAATTCGATCCGGACGCAGGAATACACGAACACGTAGAGACGCCGGGTGAATATCCGGATCCGGCGGCCAGTGGTCTGAGTGGAATGCGTCCCCTGTCCATGCATATGCAGGGTATCAGTGTGTTGCCCCCGGATTCGCCACCCGTGGCCGCAGGAGCAACCGGAAGGCCCAACACGCTTAGCTTACAGATGCCGGGAGTTAGTAAAGGACAGAGCATCCAGGGCGGACGCACTGCAGCACCCACAACGGCGCCACCACCACCACCCGTGCTCAAGTCAGCCTCGACCACTCCGATTCTGGATCAGGAGGTAAGTTGCTTGCTTATTCTAGAGATCCGTGTACAGTTCAATAGTCAGTACTTGACCGACCCTGTATAAAGATCTGCGTATGTACTTAGCTGTGTACCAGTAGCTGGTTTGATCGTTGTGCCTGCCACCCGCTCCTCCGCCCACTTTCTCATGTATCTATTCACACACTCGCACACACACACACACACACTCACTCTTTGCAGTCATCACATTTGGGCATTTGGTGTTGGTTTTGTATTATATATCTCTCTAATATGTACATTTGGAACGGCGGTCGACTCCATACAGAACCATCATCGATCGCGAGAACTGGCAGAGAACTATTCCGAAATTGAATTGATTATGTTATCTTTACATGTTATATTTTGAACCTGTTGAACTATTCTTTATTCGACTTGAGTTACCATTTAAAAGAAATAATAATAATTTCCGAACCAAAAAAAAATATGCTCATATCAATTAATTTTAAAAGTCAAATATTTCTAATATAAAATCGACTTTTTTGTGTACCAGGCAAACCTTTAATTCTTAGTTCTTAACCTCTGAACTTTTTAAGTATTTTAAAGAAAGTGAAATTAAAGATCTGGTTAAACAAGTCATAATATATTAAACTAAATTACTTCGCAAGTATTGGTATCCTTGTGTTAAAATAACCGGATATTAGTTTACGCCTTAGCTCTTCTCCAATGCCTCCAGGCGTTAGTTTTTCAAGCCATTCAACCCATCAACGTCATTTCCCTTTGCTTTTTTCTCTCTCTCTTTTAATCTATCTTCGAGGAAAGTACTTTCTTTGCCTTAAACATCCTTTCATCACTTTCTTCACCTGTCAATACTTTTCGCATTGCGCTTTTTTTGTGGCCCGCCGTCATCTTACTTTCTCTGTCTCTGTGTGTTTGTGTGCCCGTCTCGGTTTCCGTTTCCGTTTCGTCATGATTTCGTTAATCGCCGACAGCTGCAGGATGCCCTGCACGAATTCGATTTCCTCTCGGATCTGGACTCGCGTCCCACCACGCTGCGTCGCCTGCTGAAGGAGCAGAACATGTCGCTGGATCCTGGTGCGCTGGAGAACCTGCTTTTGCAGCAGCAGCAGACCGAGCAGCAGGCGCTGCAGCAGCGGCAGCGCCAGGAGCAGCTGCGTCTGCAGCAGTTCCAGGAGGCGCAGCGTCTGGCGATCCTGGATCTGTGCGAGAAACAGAAAGACCTTGAGGAGGAGGAGCAGCTGCCACCCACCCTTGTCCAGCCAACGCCGTTGCCGCCGCTTGCCAGCAATAATAACCAGATCATGCCCAGCTCAAACGCCCGCCACAGCTACAACCACAGCCAAAGCCAAAGCCCAAACCACAACCAATTTCAGTTGCAGCAGCCGCAGCAGCCACAGCCACTTCCTGCCCAGAAACCTGCCCAGAATCCCGAACCACCATCCGCTGTGGAACAGCAGCTGCACCGCCCGGTCCTGATCCTGCCGCCCGTGGTGCTGCTGGGCGGCCGGGAGGAGGAGCGCTCGGTGCCGCCATCGCCACTAGTCGAGTATCCCGAGGACGATGATGAGTATCTGTTCCGGGGCAGCAGCGATAACCTGGGCAGCCGGCTGCACTCCACCCACAGTTCCAGTGCTGGCGATCGTTTCTGTGTGGAGGTTAGGAGGTTTTTCATTTCCTGGTTTGGTTTCCGGTTTAATCTCTGTTCTCAAATTCTGATTTGTTTACTTTTTAATTGATTTACCACTAACCCTATTTTCTTTTAATTTTCTTACATCTTTTGTTTGTGTTTTTGCCACGAGTTGGGTTAATTGTTTCTTCTTTAAATGTCAATATGTGTGTGTGTTTCTGGTTTGGCTTTATCAAAGAATATATACCCTTCGAAGTCCCAAAAAATGTGTATAAACATTATATTCATAAACACACACATACGCACTGTAATCAAAAAGCGCATTCACAAGCACCCCAAAAAAATACTAATATATTCGTAGTAGAACTAACTAGAAGTTGAGCTTTGAATGTAACTAACCGTTTAAGTAACAGTGTTTACAAAATGTATATTTTGTTGATTTAGTTGATGTACATAATGCCTTAAATATTTAGCATAGATATGTATATCTAAAATTTAAAATAATTGGAGAGCTTTAAGTGATATTTGATATACCATTTGACAAATTTTAATGGCATTAATGTAACCTGCACAGCTTAGTTTGACGTAGAAATAGTTTTTTCTAATCTTTATTCAAATGAACAACAACTTGAGAGCTTTAGATATGGTCGTAAATTTATTATACCCAATTCGTTTTACACTTTCGATTGAAGCACGACAACCAAAAATAATCGAAGCGAAATAAAAGCTGAAAGTGACAATTTTAAACTCTTTAAATAGACGCGCTTCTGGCTGATGACAACGGAAAGATCAGAGGAAGGCAGCGAGGATATATCTTAGGGGAACGGGGTCTTGAGGGGGCACCCGAAAGTGCGCCGCTTCACGTGCCAATGGTCGGGAAATGTTTTAATTTTTGTCAACCAAACACCCACACCCAACCCCACGCCCCGTTTTCCCGCCCCCCCGCACGTTGCAACGTCAGCGTTCCACATTTCCATTTTCCATTTTCATCTAAGACGTCTGTCCCTGTGTTCGCTTACCTTTGTATCTATGTGTCCAAGCTATGTACCCATCGTTATGTGTGCTGTTGTCACATTTTCCTTTTCGTTGGTCATTTTTAGACCCAAAACAACGACGCAAATGCTTGGCCTCTGGTCATGACTTTGGCACTTGTTCGCCTTCAGTTGGCCGGCGCGGTTTTAGCCATCTCGTATCGTATCGTTATCGATCGAAATGTAGGAACGTCATGATTGTGCCAACTTTCCAGGCGCTCAGCCAAGTCTTGAGGCAGATGTTTGCGGTCCAGCTTCAACAGCAACAGCAGCGCACTCACAATCAGCTCCATTACCTTGATCTGTCCCCATCGCGAACCATCAACAAACTGTTTCCGTGTTCCAGCGCATCCAATCCCCCATCACCTGCTGTATGTGTGTTTTGTGGGTTCAATCAAGTCCGCCCGATCTATCAAGCAAACCCCCTCCTCTTGCAGGCCCGCATTAGTCTTGTACATATTACTCTCGAACCGATCAATGCCAGCCGGACGACCAGTTGCCTGATCGAGGAGGTGGCCGAGCCGGATTCACAGCCGGAGATTAAGCCGGTGGCGCAGTCTAAGAAAGTATCCGAAGCTTGTGTTGAAAGTATTCTCCTCGAGACAGTTGAAAAGTTAGAAACCGAAGACCAAGTGCAGCAGGTAACACAGGCAAGGAAGTGAAAGGGTTCACCAAGCTCTCAAGTTGTAGCCACTAATATATGCTTTTCCCTTTAATACTTACTCTCTACAAGAACTAAAGTCTATTTTCTTGCATATTTAGGTTATACCACAGCTGGGCAAGCTCTACGTGGGCGGCAGCCAGCAGCAGTATGTGCAGCAGTCCTCGCCCATCATCCAGGAGCCTCCCACTCCGACTATCTACGGAAACAGCGCGGCCGCTGGTGCTCCCCAATTCCCGCAGCCCGCCCAGAGGCAGGAGAAGCAGCCAGCACAGCAGCAGCAGCAGCCCATCTATGCCAACCAGTATGAGCTGAATGTGGCCAAGGCGGCGGCGGCAGCGGCTTCAGTTTACTCACCCAGCTCCTCCACCAACAGCAACTCCAATCAGCAACAGCAGCAGCAGCAGCACCGGAGGAACGTGGCCCGTGGCCTGCAGTATCGGGAATCCGGAGGAATCGAGGCCGGCAGAGCTGGCAAGCAGCCTCCCAATGCCGGCATGCTGTCCATGGACAACTTCCGTTTGCTAAGCGTCCTGGGACGCGGGCACTTTGGCAAGGTGATCCTGTCGCAGCTACGCAGCAACAACCAGTACTACGCCATTAAGGCGCTGAAGAAGGGCGACATCATCGCCCGCGACGAGGTGGAGTCGCTGCTCAGCGAGAAGCGCATTTTCGAGGTGGCCAATGCCATGCGCCATCCCTTCTTAGTCAACTTGTACTCGTGCTTCCAGACTGAGGTAAGGCAAAAAATAAATATTGCTGATAGTTTGCTAATACCTCCCTGTTATTTACCCCTCAGCAACACGTATGCTTTGTAATGGAGTACGCCGCCGGCGGAGATTTGATGATGCACATCCACACGGACGTGTTCCTAGAGCCGAGAGCTGTCTTCTATGCCGCCTGTGTGGTTTTGGGCCTGCAGTATCTGCACGAGAACAAGATCATCTATCGGGATCTGAAGCTTGACAACCTGTTGTTGGACACGGATGGCTATGTGAAGATTGCGGACTTTGGGCTGTGCAAGGAGGGCATGGGCTTTGGTGATCGCACGGGCACTTTCTGTGGCACGCCCGAGTTTTTGGCACCCGAAGTGCTCACGGAAACGTCATACACACGAGCTGTGGATTGGTGGGGTCTGGGTGTGCTGATCTTTGAGATGTTGGTCGGTGAGGTGAGTCGGAGTAACACACAATCTTCAATAGTTCAATGCATAACTGAATCATTTCTACAGTCCCCATTCCCTGGTGACGACGAGGAAGAGGTATTCGATTCAATTGTCAACGATGAGGTGCGCTATCCGCGCTTCCTCTCACTCGAGGCCATAGCCGTGATGCGTAGGGTAAGTTAACTGATAGCAAAACCAACTGCTAGAAAACATAGCTACAAATATATTACATTATCTTTCAGCTACTGCGCAAGAATCCGGAGAGGCGTCTGGGATCCTCGGAACGCGATGCGGAGGATGTTAAGAAGCAGGCATTCTTCCGTTCGATTGTGTGGGATGATCTGCTGCTGCGAAAGGTCAAACCCCCCTTCGTGCCCACCATTGTACGTTAAAATACTGCATTTGTATAACCATTTTATTGACGTTACTTATAACTACTTTTTAGAACCACTTGGAGGATGTGTCGAACTTCGACGAGGAGTTCACGTCGGAGAAGGCGCAGCTAACGCCGCCGAAGGAGCCGCGCCACCTGTCCGAGGAGGAGCAGGTGCTCTTCCAGGACTTTTCTTACACGGCCGAATGGTGTTAGGAACTTGTTGTTAGTTCAAGGGTTCACCAATGGGCCTAGCCCGATCGTTATAGCCTTTGTCTTTTGCTTTTACATGTGTACGAAGTTGGTTTTGAGTAGTTGTACTTGGTTTAGTCGATGTGAGTTCAATATTTATACATGAAGACATTATAATGATCATGCAGATACAGGACGTATATATTTATAAACACTAACTATGTAGAAAATCTATCTATTAATGAGAGAACTTTTGAGTGTTGCTCACTGGCCGAGAGACCAACAGAAACCAAATTACCTAGTTGACCACACCTTTTGGCAAGGCAATCATCCATCCAGCCAGTTCAAATCACAGTCGCCCACATGATCGTAGCATTGTACAGCAAATAGAGTCGTTTCTTTTCCTAATACGAGAACGCATTGAATAGTCTGACAAACCCTAGGAAAGCCTTAAACGCAAAGTTGTAGTTTTGGACAGTTTTTTCGCAAGACCGGATCTAAATAGATTTTATAGATGAGAGAGGAGGTATGTTTACACCCCAGAGCAACCATTGCAACATATTTTCATAATCGACATACAAGAACAAAGGATATATTTTATACATATATTGCATGCACATCCCAGGAATCGTCTTGCTAAACGAGCTCATCTTCTATACGACATATTAATCTAGAAAAGTGAGAGAAGAAGTAATATATTTACAGTTTTAACATGTAAGCTCTGTAAATTGCCTTGCGCTTTTATCAACTCCCCAGCCCATTGCCCGAGTTGTGTTATAATTTTAACATATTTTTTACGTCATATACACACGCGAACATTTGTTATTTATTATTATTATACCTATTATACAAGAAACTGTATTGCTTTGAGCATTTTTATTCGACGGTAGATTGATGTTTGTAAACGATTTGCTTGTATGCGCGGTACGCTTTAAACCAGATAAAAGGATACAAAAAACAAAATACCGCTCGACTCGATGAGTTTCGGAGCTCCCGTTGACAGATGGCATGCAATCGGATCGTTGTACTCTTCAGATCTACGCTATATTTAATGTAATTTTTTAGTTCTATTTAAGCTTGTAATAATCGATATTTGAAACGTAGTCTAAGCTATCATTATGTGAAGATAACTATTGATAATTACAATTATGATAACGATTGTGCACCCCTCATGCGAATCGAAACGAGTATAAACAATGCAGATATTCTATTGTCAGTTTTATTACGATTATGCCCACAACCTGCGGCTATAATCGTCGATTTCATTTTAAATCTGTCAAATCGAATTGGTCCGCGTCCAGTCACTTTGTTTAGCTTCAAGTTGTGACTGTAACTTATATTTATGATATGATTTTGAATAAATGTATCTATCGCTATTATTTAAATGGAGTTTTTGTTAACTGGTTTATCGCTGAGACCTTCGCTGATTTGGTAATACAGTATATTGACTGTATTGTCTACAATGGCCAGAAAAATTTTGCTGTTTGGGGGTAAACTTGGTAAGCAACTAAAACATATTTAGAGGATTCTTAAAACTCACAGTTCCTTTAGTTTTTCTTCCAAGGCATTCAGCACTCCAAAGTCAATATTCTTTGTGTGGAGAACGGGAACATAGGCTTTATCATTTTTCATTAAATAAAACACTTTCAGGTCTTCATCATAGATAGGTTTGAAATCGGCGTCTTGTTCTTCTACAAAACACATATATATCATTGACGAGATTTCTATGCCATTTCTATTTTATATGATTTACCATTTCTCAAATCTTTGTAAATTTGAAAACCCAAAGCGGCGTTCAAATCATCGGGGCACACAGTTTTAAAGTCATCTAAGTCCAACTGAAAGGTAAACACATGCATTACAGTTTGAGAGCAACCGGTGATGGGCGATTGCTTACCATGGCTGGAAATCTTGATTATATGGTACAAACGTGATTCTTATGAGAAATTACTTATGGGGGAATAAGATTTATGTTTTATCACTCTCTTAATACAACATTCCAATTTTATAAATTAAGTTAAGGCTACAACTTTTCTTTTTATACAAACTTAACAGCTGTTGAGTAGGGTTGTCAGCTGCATGCAATCGTTCATTTATTTTAATAGTGCTGTAAAACTCGTAAATATTTAAAAATATGGCGCCAAGCTTGTGTTTCTTTAAGTAAATAAATACAAGTCGAGTTTTGAACTTACCTATGTAAATTTAGTCCTAAAGCAATTTTGAATATTTGCATAATTTTAAACTAAAAAATTCACAAATTGACTATCTGCTAAATGCCCCATCAAAGCATAATCTTTGTATGCAGACATTGTCTTTGTCTAGACAAACTGGCAGCGCAACTTGGGTCCTTGACAGGCAGAAACGCCCGCCTCCCAGGATCCACAACTCCAAACTCCGCAAACGAAGACAAGAAAGGGGCAACAAATTATGCTAAGTAGATGCAGTTTTATAAGGAGTAGGGGACGCAGGATATGCATGTTGAGCAGTTTTCAAGGCATTTTCCGAGCCCCCGCCGGGGATTCCCCCCGCCTGAATTCGTCTGGTCCAAGTGATAAGGGTTTGGCAGCCACATCCAAGGGATTCCCACATGCGCATATCAATGGGCGTCTGCGATAAGCAACTTATGCTTACTGAAATGTGGAGAACAGCCATCCGCAGAGCCATGCAAATTACAGTAGAACTTCTTTAAAGTTTAAACAAAAATCTTTTTAGAAAGGGTCAAGAAATTTTTATGTTAATAAAAGAATATGTGTTACTTAACATTGATATTGAAAAGGATTACTAACACTAAATTTTGAATATTGAATTTATTAAATATTTTTTATTTAATATTTGACCTAAGTATAAAAACATAATGTTTAAAAACAAAACATTTTTAAGTGCATGATTTAGTTTTGATTTATTTTTTATCTTTTGAAACTGATTTAGTGTTATATTAATTTAAGAATGGGGTTACCATTTGGACATCGGATTAAAATCCTAAGTTACTAATTAAATTTTTAGTTTATTTTGATAATCAAGTTACTGTAATAACAAAAATGGTTTTCCAAAGTGCTTTAGATTCTAGTATTGCGTACAAACCGAAATCTTTTATACTTTTACATTAAATGTTAAAATAATAAAAGACTTTTGAAAAACCATTACTTAACTTGAAAAGCTTGGTTAAGCTTTAATTTGTTCATCCTAGCGAGTTTTTCCTGCAGTGGGGAGTTGAGCCGAGGTTCAGCAAGGAAGCCAAGGATATTCAATTAGACTGGTCGATGGGGGGCAGTGTGTACCTGGAAATCAATGCGAGGAAGCAAAGTTGCTGCGACTCCGGGCTAACCGAAGCCAGCGCAAACCGGCAACATAGACCAGATGTTGCGGTCGATGGCCATTATGGAGCTTGTCAATGCCAGTTGGCCAGAAGGATCGGGAGGAGCGGGCGGGGGCAAGTCATCCAAGGCAATTACACTGCGACGACAAGGACACACCGACGGCAGTTGCTACAATAACACACACTCACACCGAAACCCACCCGCTGTGCGTGAGGTTACTTAATGCTGTTTACTGGCCAAAGTTCGTCCTGCCATTGGACATTGGCCATTGCCCACTGGACTGCCCGGAACTGGCTTGAGCCCGGGAGTTGGCCACAATATTATTTGCACTGGCTGGGTTTTATTCTCGCCATAACCATTGCTCCACGGCAAATGGCCCATTGCAGCATTTATGGCCAAGTTCCATGTGACCGGTGCGCCCTGTTCAGTGCCATTTTCATTCAATTGTTTTATCTGACTGGCTTCTTCCTGGACTTTAATTAAAAAGCTTTCAGAAGGTTTTTTTTATATTAAAAAAATTCACATTTACTTAAAATGTAACTAAGCAATTTCACATATGTAGGTAATTGAAGTTCAAAAACATGTATTGGCTTCAAAACCCAACTAAACTACTTTTATACTTTTTATAACCGTTACTCGTGTTATTTCATCATAGAGAAAAATGGCAAATAGGTAGATTTCTAAATTTCAGACACCAGGCGAACATAAACTCTTAGCAGGTGTAGAAACGATCAGCTGATCAGTTTAGTCAGAGCTCACTTGGAGATGACCTCGTGACTGCTTCCCCTTCGCACGGCCTAGGAAAATACATAGGACTTAACTGTTATTTAGTGCATATCGTGACAAACTCGTGAAACAGCCATGGTTGCCCATCTCTAGTCTGCGCTTAGCTCCCAACTAACGGTCCTTTCTCATGGAGATCGATTCCTATTGGTCAGTGGGGGAAGGGGAAACATGGAAAGGGCAGCCATTTTGAAAATTAACAGTTATTTAAGTTCACTTTTAACTACCAGCTGCCACTTGCTAAGTTTTCTGTTTGCCTGGTGTCTGAGAGCCATAAATCCAGCATTTTGACTGAATATATGTTACGAATCCTTTTAATTTATTAAAGCAAATAGCGATTTTTCATTTTCAAACACCAGGTGAGCAGGAAAATTTGTAGGTGGCCAACGATTAGTTTTTAAGGCCTATCTAGAGGTGTGCCACTTCAAAATATGTAAAGACTTTGTTGCCGATCAAGCGATTGCCCATCTCTAGTCTGCTTATACTAAGCTAACGGTTGTCTTCCAGTAAGAAAATGTTAGCGCCCAGCAGCCACTTGCTGGGGATTCTGTTTGCCTGGTGTCAAAGAGCAAAAAATTAGCCGTTAAACTCGCAAGTGCAGATCAATTTCGTCAGGAAAATAATCTATTTTAAATTCCTAAGGCGCCTAGATGTACGCAAAAAATGTGTTCATGTTTGTTTTTGCTTGCTGTTTTCAGTTCCAATCGATAAGGAATTTAATACCGACTTTAACATCTTTTTAACTAAATGATAACAAAAATGTTTCATAATTTATTAAAGCTCTAAAATAATGATAACTTTTCGATTCTGCTGCAACTAAAATTGGGATTTTTTGGACTAAAAGATACTATGCGTTTGTTAGTATTTGTTGATTAAAAAATAAATATCAACAAAAACCTAATGTTCTATTCGGCTCTGCTGTAAAATTGTAAATTATACAAATATTAGTTCTGTAATAAAATAATAATTATAAAATGTAAGCAAACAAAGGGAGTTAATTAGTATATTTTGGTAAGAGATAGAATATTTTTATGTTCTGTTGTAAAATTCTATTCAATGTTCATATATTATCAAAATGCATATAAAGTACTCTCTTTGGCTCTGTTGAAAAGTTATTCGGTTGACCTGTTTCATTTGGTTTGACTCCTCCACTCCGTCTCGGGAAAAGCGTTTTCGGTGGGAAAAGTCGGGAAAACCCCCCGCATTCCCTGGTTCCTGCAGTCGATCGGCCATTGTTGTGGGTCGTTGCTGCCACTTAAAGTATTTGCCACACGTTCACCTCGCTCTCCACCCGTTGTCCCTGCCCTGACCCCTGACCTCTGACCGCTGAAAGCGGATGCAAAAGGCTGGCTTCGATGGGGCTGCCATCGGGGGAGTTTTAATTGACCAAACTGCCACTGGACGGACACCTGGGGGATCAATTGAGATTTATTGCCGGGTCGTGTCAGTTGTGTTTCGGTTTTTATTCAGCTTCTGCCGTTGCTGCTTCATTTGCCAATGGCCGGCAATTAGACAGTTATTTAATTTGCAGCGGGAATTTCCATCTGGCACTTCTGATTTGCCCACTGACCCGGCTCGTTAAGCATTTTGGCCAAACAAACCGACAGCTGCGGTAAACTTTGGCCAGCACAAAATGCCGGCTAATGTAATTTGCAATTCAATGCGAATATGCCCTAATTACAAGCGAAAACTGGAGAAGATTTCTAGGAATTTTCCCCTAGGATGATGGGCATGAATTTTGTAAACCAAATATATGTATCGAAATGGATTCGATTCTCAACCCCTCAAAAAAATACAACAAATTTGTAGCTGCGATTTTCGCAGATTATATTCGTGTTGGCCCCACGCTTTAATGACATTTTGAGCGTCTTAATGACTTAATGGCCTTTGGGTCGTCAAAACGCTTTTGCCGCATCATTGGCAATGCAATTAACTCGAGCTTTTTGTGAGCCAAGTGTCCTGGGGTAATTAGTTGGCAACTTCCTCGCTTCCTTTTCCGTTTGTCTGCCTGAAATGGTTTTTCGCCTCAGACTGCGCGCGAAAATTCATTAAAACTCGATAATTGCATGACAAGACAAGATCCCAGAACCCGGCGGGCTTGGAGTGTGAATCCTTGTTTATCCCTGGGCTCCGGCTATCTGGCAAATGGCGTGAAGAAGCAATTGATTTACTCGCAATTGATAATTGTTTGCTGTGCGGTGCACTGGAAAAAAATAGCTGGCGGGGAAATACTCTAAATATAATTCTTAAAAAATTAATTTGGTTTTGCTGCTACTAAAAAATAAAGATGTGGAATAAAACGGAAAACAAGAACTATACATTTGTTTAAAAAATACAGAAAATAGGGCAAGATCTCTTGAAAATTGAATTTAAAAAGAGTTTTTCTGACTATATCTCACAAAAATATGACTTATCTGTCCTGAAAAAGGCTTGATAAGAAACCCCTGCTATCAGGTATTGTAAATAATAGTTATGAGATTGCAAAAATACATACATTTTTAATTTATAGGCAAAATGAATATAGATTTAAAGGATGTGGTAATGAAAATAGAGGTCATAAAATGAAAAAAATGGCTCGAAGATCAGTTGTTTTGTATTCCGCGTGATGCGAAAGACGTATGATTTTGCTTTAGAAATCTATGAAAAAAAAATCGAATGAATAGCTGCAACTCTTAAGTTGAGAATTAATTCTACCTTGTTTTATATAATAATAATAATAATAATAATAATAATATATAGCTTTCCTAATAAGAATAATAAGGATTAAATTTTAAAACTTCTGTTAAAATTCTTATCAGTATACTATAGAAGAAGGACAATAGGTTTATAAAAACCTTTCCTCAATTTACCAGTTAAATAAACTGAAGCAATAATAAAATGGAATTACATTTCAACAAAATTTTTAGAAAGGGGTTTGTGTAGTAATTGCAAATCCTAGTAAGACAAGTCCAACTTGCAGATAAAGAGTGGATAATTGTTACATTTTCAATTAGGTAAATCGAAATAGGTTACAGCTAAAAGCAATCACTCAAGTGCATACTTTATCGTGTTGCTTCATCTTTAACATATTAATCCCACTGCAAAGACGCCGAGCAATTGTCTCGATTAAATAACAAAATCCGGTGAATGCAGTCAAAGGCAGCAAATATTTTAATTTGCCAAGGCCGGAGACCATGTCAGTGGCAAGTATTTCCATTTGCACCCGGGCGAAACATCAGTTATTAGCCTTCGGCTTGTCAGTTGCGAATCGAAATACCATGGATGTAATTTGGGCCTGCGGTTGCCGGGCAGCAAATTGAATTCTGCTGTAAAGGCCGTTCATGGCTGAAGGCAGGATAAACATGCTAAACGTATAAATTTTCAGCCTGATTGCATTCCAAACTTTCGGGGGGGTTCCAGGGGGCTGGAGCGGCAGCTATGCCAGAAATTATACACAAAAGATAATGCTGCTGCACAATTGGATTTCCAGCTGAGCAGGGTGAATGCAGCACACAAACATTCATTTTCCACTCGACTTGAGTTGAGCGCGTTTCGCATTTTGCATTTCAGCAGAAATTCAATGCGACCGACAACAGACGGAGCCCCAGACGGTATTGTTATGCTTTTGGCCACAGGACCTCGGCTCGAGCATCCAATGAGTGACATTTATCTTCCGAAACGGGGAGCGGGCGGGCATTGTCCAGGTTGGAGCATTCATTTGCGTAATTAGTGGCCAAGTGGCATCCGCAACCTGGTTGCCAGTTGGCTTTTAGCTCCAGCCGCAGCCCAAGTGCTGCCAAATCACCGCAACTGCTGCTTGGTTATTGGCCAAAAGGAAAAGGCCCGGCCAGCAGACAGCAGACGTCAGCACAATTGATAGCATACTTCTCAGGGCAGCAGGTGAAAAGGAAGAATGATTGCAATCTGGTTGGGGTTATTGCAGTCTGCTTAACTCGTATCTTTATCTGCAGTCGAAGTTGTCCTGCTCGAACTTGCCCGTACTATTCAAACTCATTCTTAAACGGTTTCTTAGAAATGTTAATTCGTTGTATTATTCCTTAATTCTATCAAAAATCGTTTTCATGAATTTATTGTCTGATTTATTAATCATGGATTATGTCTTTACCAGAAGTTTTTTAAAGCAGATATTGCGACTGTATTATTATTAATTAAAATTTATAAGAATTATATTTTATAATGGGAATAAATTGTGAAAAAGAATATAAATAATTATGCCCTAGGTGTAAACTTTTGTGGAAGGTAACAGTTTGGTTCCGGTAATGTATTAAGAATTTACTTTAAAATACTAATGTAATTGAGTTTTATCATAATGGTTTCTTAGATAATATTGATTAAGGTATAGAGATTCTGTTTAGTAGCCTTATAAACATTTAGAACAGCGGTCGGAATGACCTATTAAGCGGGCATTGGGAACAACCCTGCCCTATTTCTGCCGACACACGTACAGTGTACAACAGCGGTGAAATCAAATATTATAATATAGTTTGCAGTAATCAGCGGTGTGATTTGAAACTATTCAAATATTAAATATATTGTTTATTTAATATATTGGTACTACGAAAGTATTTATTTTACCCCGAATAGAAAAAGCAAACGAATATTTTCATCGATTTTATTTAGTACCCATATTAATATTTAGATCATAGGAACAACATTTTAAAATATTTTACCTTTCTTATGCTATGTAACCCAGTTTGTTTTTCTTTTCACATCGAAATTGTAATTGATTTCCTGTGATTGATTCACTGCCGAAGCAAGAACCTATCTGGCGGCATTAGGGGAGTATAATTAAATTAGTTTTAAACTGGAAAGTAACTTAATCAACGTGGCAAGCAAGCGGAAAACTTCATTTGTAGCTGTAGGATGGGGTGGGTGTTCGAGGGGTCGAGGTGCATGGGGGGTGGGAAAAAGGAAAGCTACGTGAGAGTTACAAGGGCACGCACACACCGACACAAGGGAAAAGCGAAAAGCGAAAGCGACAAGAGAGGAGAAAATCGGAAAAGAGGAAAAACAGCAACAGCAACTAAGCAAAACATGGGCCAAACCAAAACAAAAACAGACACGATTTGCCGGCAAAATGCACGTGACATCCTTTGGGGGAGTTTCGTTCAGTGAGATCCTTCGTCGGGAGCCGAGTGCCGAATGCAACTGAACGAAGCGGAGCCGAAGCTGCGCAGAATCCAACGAGCGCTATAAAAGCGAGAGGCCCTCAGGATTCGGAGCATTCGATTGTCGTCACTCGCCAGGATAGCTTGCCAGCTTGGAAAAAGGATAAACCCGAAAAGGACTTACATTAAAAGTGAAACTTTAAAGCCAAAAAAAACACACACATATAACTGTGTGCCAGTGTGTGGGTGACTGAGTTTGCCAGTGTTTGTGGGACTTGGCCAAGTGGTTTTCTATTTTTGCCCCATTGAGAAGGACTCGTAAACTCGTAAAGTGCAGTGATACGTTCCCACCAGGAGAAGACTTGATAAAATCTTGAAACATAAAACATAAAACATATTAAATTCTGGCAGTTGCAATCTGATCCTTGGACATGTGGAGCAGGCAGCGAATGCGCCACAAGCCGCTCTGGGCCCTCATATCCTTGACCGTTTTGCTGCTGGTCCTGGACAAAAGCAATGCCAACACGGAGCCCGTGGAGACCAGCACCACATCCGAGCCAGGTGAGTTTCAGTGCTAATTGCCATTGCAACCCACGTGTGCTTCCGTTTGACCTTCACTGGGCTCTGGGCCAACAGAAATCGTTAATAAATTATGACGGGGCTCAAACTCGGTCATACCGATGCCCAAAAACACTTTATTAAACGGCAGGCATCGCCAGCGATTATCACACACGCACAATCCGTAAAACAAATAAAAAATACTATAATAAATCCCAAAGAAAAGCAAAAGCGGAGCACAAATGAAACTGAAACAGGAAACTGGGAGATTGCAGAGCGCAAGAGCAAATAACTGGCAGCAAATGAAATATTTCACGGCATCTGCGGCACAAAGGCAATCAAAGCGAACCGAGAACCCATGGGCAACCTTAATCCCAATCAGAACCAACAAACAAGCAAGGGCAGCGCGAAAAAAGGGGCACTGAGGGAAAAGTTCTGCATCAAAAATGACGAAACAAATAATTTATTCAAGATGGTTTTCTTTTTGAACTTAAAATGAGGTGCTAGCTTTCTTGAATAAAATGGAAAGGAAATATAGTAAATGTTATTGAAACTGTTTTGGAAACTACGAAGAGGAAAAGCTAATGAATTGAGTCAAATTCAAAACTGATGAACCAAATTATGAATTTAAGATAGTTTTCTTCTTGAACTTCAAATGAGGTGCTACCTTTCTTGACTAAAGGGTTATGAAATTTCAAGGAAAGAGATTGGAAAGGTTTTGAAAAATGATTTGGAAACTACAAAGACGAAAACCTAATGAATTGAGTCAAATCTAATAACTAAGAACCAAGTGCTGTTCTCAAGATAGTTTTCTTCTTGAACTTAAAATGAGGTGCTAGGAAACATTAAATAAAATAAATATGTTTTCATTAAAATATTTTAATTGGCAATGTAACATAAGATAGAACAAATAATTTAAAATAATTTTAAAATCACATCTTGTTGTGAACATATCTTGAAGACTACGGATTGATATTCTTTAGTAAATTGTATTAGAGTAGCAATATTTTATTATAATATTATTAGTATACCTTAATAATACCTTAGTATTATAAGGTATATTATTATTATACCTCAGTAGTATTATACCTTATTAGTACCTTAGTAATACCTTAAGACTGCTTATCCCAATTTTTCCTTCCATTTTTCTCAGTGTAAAAAGGGAACAAACGAAAGGTAGCTCGAGCAAAAGGCAATTGCACGAAAGCTCGTAATGAAGTATGGCAGGCCGTCTGAGGCCGGTAATAGAAATTAATAGCGTCATGTGTGAGTTTTGCGAAAGGAAGGGAAAAAACTGGATAGGGAGATGGGTGGATGTGGACTTGGGGGTAAAGGGTCCGGGGGAAGTGTAAAGTGCCCGACAACGACACGCAGATGCGCATAAAGTAATTAATTCACTCTGCCTCCACATCGCCATTCCTCCAGTTGCCTTCTAATTTCCCCTACCATATCGACAGGGCCAGCTGTTGAGCCTTTGGGGTTTTAGCCTTCAGTCTGCTGAAAGTGCGCATTTTTCCTTTTTCGGTTTGCCAGATATTGCGACTCCTGTTTTTTCGGCTGTAGTTTCACTTTTGTTGCGCAGTTTTTTTTGGCTGTCAGGTGAGGGGTGCAAATATAGGGGTAACCTTGGTACAAAGCCAGCCGTTTCAATTTCCATTCCATTCAAACATTTGCTCGGCACATATAAAAGCGAATGGAATTTAATTTACATGACTCACAAATGGAATCCATTTAATGTTGACTTATGGCGTCGAAACACAAGCACAGAGAGCAGTGATGAAATATGCAATAACCGAAGTAGCAGCTAAAACTGACAGACCAACCGAGCTGCCTTTCACCCATTTTCCATGTCCTGTCCCATAAATCCTGAGCCCCCGGGATGGATGATGAAGTTGCACAGTCGGGCACACACTAAAAAATATGAGTATTCAATGGCACTGTGTTACCAAATTGGACCTTTACTATTTTACATTGATTAAAGTTCCCACTTTGTATTCCACACACAAGGATTCTGAAAAAAAGGATGTAAAAATATAAATAAGATTGTTTTGGGCCACTTTTAGACACCAAAAACATGCAAAAACATAACCAAGTGAATCTATTCCAGATAATCTTTAGGTGCCTAAAAGTATGCAGTAAATAAAGGATAGTCGTCTTTCTAAGTTAATGCACGGTACTTCTGAGTTTAAAAATATTGTTGCATACTTTTAGACACCTAAAATTTTTTGCAAACATTATATCTACGCCTCCATTTTAAAACGCCGAAACTTCTTTCAGTGCACACAACTCGTGCGTTTTGCAAGCCCATGGTCACATGTCTCTTTGCCACATTTTATGTGCTTAGAACAAAGCTGAATCTGCATTATGCATGCAAATGGTATAACTCAGTAACGAACTGTCAAAATCGCAGTTAAAGCAGAAAGAAGTCGGTGGGAAGCCTGCACAGAAGTCGAGGAAGTGAAACCGAATGACAAAAAGTCGCCAGCGCATTATGCATTTGCATTCCCATATATGTGGGCTAAAAGACAGAGATTACTTGACTTTTCCTGGGCTCCCTTAAAAATAGGAATAGAAAACAGCAGAGATCTCCCACTGTGTGTGGAAATGGGAGTTGGAATGGTAATGGCTGTAGGTATAGGAATAAAAGGGAACTGCTTCAGCCCGCCAGTGCATGAATGATTTATAGGGCGGCAGCTGTCGAGATGCCAACGATTATCGGCCATAAGCCAGTCACAGGGACTTTTTACACCCAAGAAAAGAGAGATGAAGATAGGGGATTAAAGCATAGTAAAATGCATTTTATGGCTAACACAGTTTCTGGATTAAATCCTTTCCATTAAAGCCCAGTCACTTTCTTCTCACAAGCTTCACGTGAATTTTGTTTTGAGTTCGCAGCGTGATTCCCGATTGAAACACTATGCTGTTGGGATCGATAACTGGCAGAATCTGGAACTGCTTCAGTAGAGCCACCATCAGAGTTTTCATCTCCTGCATGGCATATTTTTGACCTAGACAAAGAAGATAGTAAAGCTTTCCTTTAGTAAAACAAGATTTCTTACCAATGCAATTCCTTTGACCAGCACTGAATGGAATATAGGCGTAGGTGTGACGGTTCTGGGAATTCTCGGGTAGGAATCTCTCGGGGCGGAATTCTTCTGGGTTATCCCAGTACTTGGGATTGCGATGAATGTCAAAAACATGAACGACAATCTGTGAACCCTTCGGCATAATCAGCCCATTGGCCAGCTCCGTTTCTCGATTGGTTTCCCGACCCATGCTGGGGACGGAAGGAAATAGACGCATAGTTTCCTTAACAAAGTATTCCAGGTATTTAAGTTTATTCAACTGATTGATGTCTAAGTTGCTCAACTCATCTGAAAAAAGAGTTGACATTTAAGAATGTTATTTTAATGCCTATCCTAACTCACCGTCTATCTGCTCTTGGATCTCCTGGAAGCATATTTCTTGCTTGTCGGGATACAAGGACATGTTCATCAGACCATAGATAAGGCCAATTGAGGTGGTATCGTAGCCCTCGAACATAAGAGTGTCAACCTCCTCACAAATGCCAATGTGATCGATAAGGCCATCCTTTTCAGCATAAATTAAGGTGTCCAGCATGGCAAAACGCTTCTTCGTGGTGAATCTATAGTAAATTGATATAAAATAGTTGCTTGAACGATATTCAATAATATCCTTACACATCATCATCTGCGGTCTGCGTGGCTTCGTTGTTGTCTAGCTCATCCTTCAGCAAAACCCTTCTCTTTGCTATAATCTCGCTAGAAAATCCATGGACCACATCGAGTGCAGCAGCATAATCCTTGGCCGCAAACATGTTGAACAGTGTGTCGACCCAGAGTAGAGGGTTACTCATACGGCGAATGAAACATTCTTCAATCTGACTGAAGTTTTCCCGGTAACGATCGCCTTCCTCAGCCATCTCATCCAACTTAACACCCATGGCAGTCTCTATAGATATGGTTTAAGAATTTAAATTAAAAATGTGCAACTGATATTTATTATTTTTAAAAACTCACCGCATATACTGTTCAGAGTAAATCTTGGTATGACGTCGTTCAATAAGATTATTGCCTCATCTTGACCCTTGAATTGCTGAAGAAATTTCAGACTCTCCGTTCTAAAAATATAGATTCTCAATATATATTTGAAAAATCCGCTTAAACTCACTTGAATACCTCCTGAAACTGATTCAATATGTTAAAATGAAACGTTGGAGTAAGCATCTTCCTTCTCGCATGCCACTTTCTACCTAAAAGTGTTATTTCATGAGAAAATATAAAAATGAGAGTGAATCCAATTTCAAACTCACCTGTGGATGTCAACAAACCCGTTCTCAAAAACGGATGTAGGAAATTGTATACTATTGCCTTTTTTATTAGATTAGGATCATTAAGTACATATTCCGCATTCTGCGCATCGATAACATTGTAAACCGCCGTTCCCATCGCATATTCTAAATAGCTCTCAGTTAATTTTTTTGCACAGTCACGAGAGTGCTGAAAAACACCAGCTGAGGGGTACAATTAGAATACAGACAGAGAAATACCCCCAAGAAACTTATAGAGATAAGCTAGCACTGGTAGATTTCTTAATTACTCACAGTGATCTTTGCCGTACAAGTCGAAGCTGTTGGCAAATATGGTACTACCCTTGACCATGGGGGCTACGCTTTCTATGGGCTTCTCATCCTTAGTTCGAATTCTTCTGGCGAAGAACCCAAGAATGCAGTAATCCTGGTTGACCCTATAAAGCCAATGCGAGAGCACAATTAAAGCTCCGACGAGCCACAAGATTATCATTTTCCAACAACCGCATCCACGGATCTGTCTCACCACACTGATCACTGAGATCAGTTTCAGCCGGTTTTATAAATACAAATGACCGGTATAAAAACCGAGACTGATTAGATTGTCTCCCATATTTTATGTGAGAACATTTGCTGGAGCTCACAACAAATAATTATATGGTACTAACTTCATTGTATAAATATATACACTCAAAAATGTTTCTATAAAATGTTCTATACCAATAACCATTTATTAAAAAGTGCATTATAAACAGTGAGTATTTACAAATAGACAAAATTCTATTTTGTACATTTTTTTGTGAACAAAATTGAAGGCAAAGTAATATCCAAAAAAAAAATGATTTAAAAAAAAATGCTTTAAGCACTTGATTTCATTGAATTGCTTAGCACTTAACCTATTTCCGTCTTGAAAGTTGTACTTTAATTTTGTTTTGGGTACGCAGAGTTATACCCGTATGAAAAATAATCTTTTTGGGATCGATGGCTGGCAAAATCTTGAACTTCTTGAGAAGGACGACCATAAGGGTTTTCATCTCCTGCATGGCATACTTTTGACCTAGAAAACGATTATAAATAGAGTTATGGGATAAGGGAAAATGATTCTTCTCTTACCAATACAATTTCTTTGACCAGCACTAAATGGAATATAGGCGTAGGTATGACGGTTCTGAACATTTTCGGGTAGGAATCTCTCCGGACGGAACTCTTCAGGCGAGTCCCAGTACTTGGCATTCCGATGAATATCAAATACATGAATGGTAATCTGAGAACCCTTCGGAATAATCAGACCATTGGCCAGCTCTGTATCCTGAACGGGTTCACGAGCCATAATGGGAACCGAGGGAAACAGGCGCATGGTTTCCTTCATGAAGTACTCCAGGTATTTCAGCTTATTCAATTGATTCACGTCCAAGTTGCTCAGGTCATCTGAAAGAATTAACATGGCTCAGAGTTTCCTAGTAGTGGGGTAGTCCTCACTAACCATCTATGTGGTCTTGAATCTCCTGGAAGCATATTTCCTGCTTGTCGAGATGCAAAGACATGTTCATCAGACCAAAGATAAGTCCAATTGAAGTGGTATCGTAACCTTCAAACATGAGAGTATCCACCTCCTCACAAATGCCTATGTGATCGATAAGGCCATCCTTTTCAGCGCAAATTAGGGTGTCCAGCATGGCGAATCGCTTCTTTGGGACAAATCTATAATGAAAAGGTTTGTTAACTATATTTTAAAGCCAGGTTAATAATAATGTTCTTACACATCATCGTCGGCTGTCTGTGTGGCCTGTCTGTTGTCCAGCTCATCCTTAAGCAAAACCCTCCTCTTAGCTATAATCTCACTGGAAAATCCATGCACCACATCCAGGGCAGCAGCATAATCTTTTGCTGCAAACATGTTGAACAGTGTATCGCCCCAAAGAAAGGGGTTGCTCAATCGGCGAATGAAACAATCTTCAATCTGACTGAAGTTCTCCCTGTACCGATCGCCCTTCTCCGCCATCTCATCCAGCTTAACTCCCATGGCAGTCTCTATAGATATGATTTAATATTAATGTTAAAACAAAAATGTGCTACTCATAGTAATAATATTAGAAAACCCACCACAAATACTGTTTAGAGTAAATCTTGGAATAACATCGTGTAATGTGATAATTTCCTCATCTTGACCCTCGAACTGCTTAAGGAACTTTACACTCTCCGCTCTATAAACGAGATATATAAATAAATTTTTAAATTCTATTATAATTGGACAACTCACTTGAAGATCTCCTGGAACTGATTCAATATATTAAAATGGAATGTCGGGGTGAGCATCTTACGACGTGCATGCCATTTTTTACCTGTAATTAAATATAATTAAGAGAACCAAGCGGAATATCCAACTACAAACTCACCAGTTGATGTCAGCAAACCCGTTCTTAAAAATGGATGTAGGAAATTGTAGACAAGTCCCTTGGATATCAGATTAGGGTGGTTGAGTACATTATCCGCGGTATCCGCATCGATTACATTGTAAACGGCCGTTCCCATTAAATATTCAATATAGCTAGTTCCCATTTGCTTCGCTCGTTCGCGGGAGTGTTCAAAAACACCAGCTGAACACTCATTGTTAACATGCGAAAAGATAATAGGTTAGCTGTATTATCTGAGGTCAAGGTTCGGCACTTAGTGTTACTCACCGTGGTCTCTGCCGTACAGGTCGAAAGTGTTGCCGAATATGGTCTTACCCTTGGGTATGGGAGCTATGCTCTCCACAGGTGTACCATCTTTCGATTGAATTCTTCTGGAGAAGAAGGACAGGACACAATAGTTCTTGTTGATCCTGTAGAGCCAGTGCAGCAGCACACTAAAGCCAATAACCAGCCACAAGATAATCATTATTGGTCAACCACGTTCACGGAGACCTCCAACGGCACTGATCACAAATCTAGGGGAGCTTTTACTATCAGCCGGTTTTCTGTGCTATAACACATATAAACAGCCGAAACTGATTAGATTGCACCTAGTATACAGATATTTACGCTCTGCTAGCGCCGATTTGTGGTCGAGTTCACAAAAAATAATAATACGGCTTCGCCTTATATGCAGTTTTAGTAGTTGCGTCGATCAACCGGTTTAGAAATCAAGTATATTGCTATTTTATCATCGATATATTTTCTGTTACATATACTATAAACATGTGTAATTTTCTCAAATCAATGTTTAGTCTTTAACTTTTATTGCTTAACCACGATTCTAACGATTAACAATGGAAACACAGACTCACTTGGACGTTTAGTATTAGCAAAGTACTTAAATCGAATTGGCACTTAGTGAGAATACATATATCAGGCATATCCTTAAATCGATACACACTAGACGCGATTCCGCCTCACAAGCTTGACTTTTATTTTGTTTTTGAAGCGCAGGGTTAAGCCCGTTTGGAAGACAATGCTTTTGGGATCGATAACGGGCAGAATCTTAAACTGCTTGAGAACAACTACCAAAAGGGTTTTCATCTCCTGCATGGCATACTTTTGACCTACGTGGGTGAGGGATAATATAAGGATAGGATAAGTGCCTGGAATATCATTAAAATTGTTACTTACCTATGCAGTTTCTTTGTCCACCACTGAATGGAATGTAGGCGTAGGGATGCCTCTTCTGAGAATTCTCGGGTAGGAATCTCTCAGGGCGGAATTCTTCGGGGGAGTCCCAGTACTTGGAATTGCGATGAATGTCAAAGACGTGTATATTAATCTGACAACTTTTCGGAAGAATTAAACCGTTGTCTAGCTCCGTTTCCTGGATTGCCTGACGACCCATGATGGGAATAGAGGGATAAAGACGCATGGTTTCCTTTAGGAAGTTGTTCAGGTGGCTTAGTTTATTTAGTTGGCCATGGTTCAGGTTGCTTAGGTCGTCTGGAAATAAATATACATATTATTTTCATATTATATGCATGATCCAAATTACCATTAATGTGCTCCTGGATTTCTTGGAAGCACAGTTCCTGGTGTTCAGCGTAAAGGGACATATTCAATAGGGCAAAGACTAGACCAATAGACGTAGTATCGTAACCTTCAGCCATCAGTGTGTCGACCTCCTCGCCAATGCCAATATCGTCAATCAGACCATCTTTCTCAGCGCAAATCAAGGTGTCCAGCATAGCGAATATTTTCTTTCTAGCGACGCATCTGGTTCAAAGAAATAAGAAGCTTATCAGTGGGAAAAGTAATTTCACAGTAAACTCACATATCATCGTCAGCCGTTTGGGTGGCTCTTCTGTACTCAAGCTCCTCTTCCAGAAGAACTCTGCGTTTTGCGATGATTTCGCTGGAAAATTCATGGACCACTTTCAAAGCCGAGGCATAATCACGGGTTGCAAACAGTTTGTAAACGCAATCGTCCCAATAGAGCGGATTACTTATTCGCCTCGTAAAACCCTCGTCGATTCGGTGGAAGTTCTCTCTGTAGCGATCGCCCTTTTCTGCCATTTCATCCAGTTTAATTCCCATGGCAGTTTCTAATGAAAATCTCTAGTTGTTGACTGGTTATCAAATAATGTTTCATATACAAATACCACAAATGCTGTTCAGGGTGAACCTGGCTATGTGGTCTCTCAAAGAGACCTCGCACTCATCTTGACCTTCGAACTGGTGAACAAACTTTAAGCTCTCCGCTCTTAAAAAGGTAAAATAAAGTTTAAGGAGCTGCATTTGGTTGATTTCAGAATTATCCTTACAGCACTCACATAAAGATCTCTTGAAACTGGTTCAATATATCCAAGTGAAAGGTCCTAGCTAGCATGTTCCTTCGCGTATGCCATTTCTTTTCTGAAATGGAAATCAAATGGAAAATTACAATCGCTCTTAATTTGCATACTCACCTGTCGCTGTCAAGACGCCAGTTCTCAGAAATGGATGTAGAAAATTATATATCGCACTCTTTGTTATTAAATTCGGATGGTTCAGTATATTAGCCGCATTATGGGCATCTATAATGTGGTAGTTGGGAAATCCGAAGCTATATAGCAGATAACTATCCCCGGCTTTCCTCGCCAACTGACGCAAGTGACTAAAAACCTCGGCTTTTAGAATATGTAAAACGGGTAGTTAAAAGTCGTATAAAGAAAAGAAACCTGATGTCAGGGCTTAGTAGCTACTCACCAGCGTCTTTTCCAAAAAGATCAAAGCAGTTGGCGAAGAAAGTTTGCCCCTTGGGCAAGGGAACTATGGTATCCAGGGGTTCTCCACTTTTCGTATGAACTCTCCTGGCAAAAAAGGCACGGATGCAGTAGTCTTTGTTTACCTTATAGAGCCAGTGGACGAGCACACCTATGGCGACGCAGAGCCACAGAAGCCAAATCATCGCTATCGAACTGGATCGGTGGGCCTCACTCTCAGTACTGCTTCGACTTACGGTTCTCAACTCTCGTTCCACTCGAGCTTTTTACTATCAACTAAATAGCCGACCAGAACTGATTAGATATTCATCTGGAAACATATATTTTATTGTTCGTTCTCTCAGCTGGCCGTGCTTTTAGGGCATGTTCTCCCATTAACTTTTATTTCTCATGTCAAGATTTAATCAGTCGATTAGTTTAATAGTGGATCAATTTACAGCTCACATTAACTTTTATTGTTTGTTTACTTAGAACATTGTTATCGTTATTTGTATTCGATATTAATACTAACCGGCCTGAATTCTTTGGGTGTGTTCTAGTGATTGTGATTAGATAAAATGTAAAGATTTATAAGATTGTATTGCTTATTTTTAGGTAATTACTTTAAAAATCAACTTTAAATTAATAAAATACTTAAACCGACTTGATTCGTAGAGAAGCTGCGTCTAATTGTGTATAAACTACTTGGGTTTTATGATATTTCATCATAATTACATTTCCGCCTCACAAGCTTGACTTTTATTTGGTTTTTGAAGCTCAAGGTTGCAGCCGCTGCAAAGACAATGGACTTGGGATCGATAGCTGGCAGGATCTTGAACTGCTTGAGAATGACCACCATAAGGGTTTTCATCTCCTGCATGGCATACTTCTGGCCTACGTGGGTGGGAGGTATAATGAAAAGAGGACATTAATGAGATATTTTCACTTACCGATGCAGTTTCTTTGTCCAGCACTAAATGGAATGTAGGCGTAGGGATGCCGCAGCTGGCAATTCTCGGGCAGAAACCTATCCGGGCGGAATTCTTCAGGGGAGTCCCAGTACTTGGGATTGCGATGAATGTCAATAACGTGTATGTTAATCTGACAACCCTTGGGCAGAATTAAACCATTATCTAGCTCCGTTTCCTGCAATGTCTGTCTACCAATCGTAGGAATAGAGGGATAAAGTCGCATGGTCTCCATCAAGAAATAGTGGAGGTGCCTTAGTTTATTTAATTGACCAATGTTCAGGTTGCTAAAGTCGTCTGAAAAGTACAAAAATTAGATTTCAAGTATTTTTAGATAGTATCCATGATATATAATACCTTCAATGTGTTCCTCGATCTCCTGGTAACAGAGTTCCTGCTCTTTAACATGAAAGGACATAGTCAATAGGCCAAAGACTAGACCAATATAGGTTGTATGATAACCTTCAGCTATTAGCGTGTCCGCCTCCTCACAAATGCCAATATTGTCAATCAGGCCATCTTTCTCAGCGCAAATCAAAGTATCCAGCATGGCAAAGGGTTTATTCCTAGCTACGCATCTGTTTTAAGGAATTGATTTTTTTTAGTGGACTTACATTTTATTAAAATAAACTCACAAATCATCGTCAGCCGTTTGGGTGGCACGTCTATTTTCCAGCTCTTCCTCCAAAAGAATTCTTCGTTTGGCTATTATTTCGCTGGAAAACTCATGGATCACTTTTAGGACCGAGCAACAAGCCTGACCAAAAAACAAGTTGTATATGCAATCGTCCCAAAAGAGTGGGTTAATCAAGCGCCTAATAAACCCTTCGTTTACTCGTTGGAAGCTTTCTCTATAAGAATCGCCCTTCTCTGCCATTTCATCTAGCTTAACGCCCATCGCAGTTTCTAAAATAAATAGCTTTCAGCCTTATTATATTTTTTAAGTTTTAAATATTAAGGTACCGCATATGCTGTTCAAGGTGAATCTGGCTATAAGTTCTGGCAGAGACACAATGCACTCATTTTGATCTTCGAACTGATGAACGAACTTCAAGCTCTCAGCTCTAAAAATCTCAAAAAAATTAAATAGCTTGTTATACATAATATTATTATCAGTACTCACATGAAGATCAGTTGAAACTGAGTTAATATATCAAAATGAAAGGTTCTAGCTAGCATATTTCGCCGCGTGTGCCATTTATTTTCTGCAAAAGGAACAATAAGAAATAACCTATATCATAATACACAAAGATTATAATCTTACCGGAAGCTGTCAGAACTCCAGTCCTTAAGAATGGTTGCAGAAATCCGTATATCATGCTCTTGGTAATCAGTTTAGGATCGCTAAGTATATTCCCGGCATTATGTGCATCGGTAATATGGAAATTGGGCAAACCGAAACTATATTCAACATAACTGTTCTGGAATCTATTTGATAACTGGCGCATGTGGCTGAAAATTTCAACTGATCCGGAAACCCAAGTTCTATTGAGATAAGAAACCCGATGTCAAAGTTCACTACCTGCTCACCTGGGTCTTTTCCAAATAAGTCAAAGCAGTTGGCAAACAAAGTAGCTCCCTTCGGTATGGGAACTATGTTCTCCAGAGGTCTTCCATCCTTGGCACGAACTCTTCTTGCGAAGAAAGCCAGAACATAGTATTCTTTGTTTACCTTGTAGAGCCAGTGCAAGAGCACGCTTATGGCCACAGTAGTCCATAAAAGCCAAATCATTGCTGTCGAACCGAACCGGAGGGCTTCACTCTCATCACTGTTTGGGTTTTTGGTTCACAACTCAAGTTCCACGGGAGCTTTAATTGTACCGGTTTCTCTTTAGGCAATTAACTACACCTAGCACCTATATCTACTCATATATGTATGTTTACTAGCTCAGCTGGCCGCGAGTTCACGTCGTGCTCAGTGAGTTTTATCGATACAACCCATTACTGGTAATCGGTTAAATAAAATCTTTTTTGTGGGTCTGTTTCGCTTAATTACACATCTGTTTGGCTTAATATCAGCAATATCAAGGGAGTAATGACAGTCCATATAGGTTATCGATTTCTATTTACACGCTTGACTGGTTTATTATTTTTGTTGGGCAGTGTAAGTTCCGCTTTAGAGGCAATTCTCTTTGAGTAGCATTGTGGAAGAATTTTAGACCTTTTGAAAATACAAACTATCAGAATTTTAATTTTGTATTCCTTATTTTATAATAAAACCTATACAGTTTTGAAGTCAAGTTCTTAATGATATGTAGTAAGAGATAAGCTTGTCCGGCTGGATTTCATATATACGAATGGTCATTAGAGAAACCTTTCGGAGGATAGGGCACTTACAAGCTATGTTTTCGGGCAAGTTATAAATAGAAGATTTAGTTAATACAATCCTAACACATTTTAGCTGAATTGTAAGGTGTACACAAAAGATTAGTTGACTAAAATTACATCATCCTTTACTTGTAAAGTTTTAGTATGAGGAAATACTATAAAATTGTCAACTGGTTTAATTTAATTACCACAAAACCGGAATCCACCTTTTAGGCAGAAAACTTTTCCTTAGGTAAATAAATCAAGTGTAAACATGAAGATCTTATAAAAATCTACTTCAGCTTGCATGGAAATCTGTATAAAAATAAAGTTTGCTTATATTCTTCAATTTTAATCAACTAAGTGCCAATGCCCAATGGTCATGGCGCATTTTTCCTTTGCCACTCTGTTGCATTTGCACCAACAGCTAATTGGCGATTGCATTTCATCAGTTACAAGAAATTCAGTTATTCCATTTGCCTGAGCTGTAGTATATGACTCGACCTACTTTCTGGAAAAGTAGATGACACATTACGGAATAAAGAAAAAGTCGAAAGGGAGAGTAGAGCTGGAAAAACTTTAATACCGCCTTCGGCGATTACGAAAAGCTGACTAGAGATGGGGATGGCGGAAAATACGGCCACGACTTTTAACCTCCTCTGCAGCTGCCTGAAATCCGGATTCTGGTTCTGATTCTGATTCTGACTCTGACTCTGACTCTGTTTCTGCTCGAGTTCCTTCTGCGCCTCCACCTCTCATGTAAAATTGAAACTTGAACTGTGCGTTTGTGCCACGACCTTCCTGAGTTCGTACCACCCATTCCGCCCCCTGATTACTTGCCTGCATGCCAAATGCATATTGGAAATTTGCAATTTCGATGGCACTCAAAGTCTGGCGACGTCAAGTGGAAAGTTCTTCTCAGCCAGGCTAAGTTATTAAATTAGATCACATATGAAATATTTATGGCAAGAGTTTCTGGCAGACTTGAAATTGCATTACCTCCAGTCAAGCCTCAATCTTGGTGGAATAAGTTTTGGTAAACCGTCACTGAGGCAAAAATCGATTGCTGATTTTTAATAAGGGAAAATTATAAAGTTATTTATTATTATATAAATTTGAGTTGCAGTACCAAAAAACTACCTACTTATTAAGTAATCGTTCTTAATTATCGATTAATAATTTAAAAAAATGCTTTTTAAAGGTAAATTGAAAAAAATATCTATAAAAAAACATAAAATACAATGTAAAACACACACATTGAGAAAACGAAATTAGATTTCCGAACAATGTTACTTCATGTTAACATTTTCAAACAGGTAAAGAGTTATTATCGATTATTTTGCAGCTTTAAGTTTTAACTTTAAAAATAGCAATTAAATAGTTTATGTTAATGTTCAAAAGAATGTTATTGCCAAACTGATTTTTAGTTAGAGCCCCGACTTTTTTCCAAGTGTTCTCATTTTCCCTTTTCCTTTATCCATTTGCAGATGCCTCGCCGGGCTGTCGGGCACCGGATGTGCGCTTCACGATTGTCAAGCCGGAAGCAACGACGGAGCAGCCGCTGGCCAAATTCGAGACCACGCAGGTCTACCTGCCGGAGGACTTCACCACGGCGGATGTGGAGTTCGTGGACTCGGTGCCCCGTCACCCCAACGAGAACCATGCGGCCGTAATCAATCCGTATTCCCTGGACCTGGGCGACGACCATTTGCATGTGGGCGATGCGGCGGCCAGTTTGATTGGCGACGATGATCTGGGTGACGACGATGAGGATCCCCACGGGGACCCAGAGGATAAGCGTTTGAATGCCAATCGAAAGCAGGGCAAAAGACGTCGCGCTGGTTCGGGCCGTCGGCGTAGAATCGAAAACGAGAACGGCCAGACGGGCAGGGGGCGTGGCAGTCGCTATAAGCGCCATGCCATCCTCCATGATACGGAAGCCTCCCCGGAAACGGACCGCTGGGCGGGCAGCAAACTGGCAGCGGAGGGGGATGTCTACTATGTCCATATAGCCGACATCCTCAAGAGTCGTGAACCGAATCGGGAACTTAAATCGAAACTGCATAAGCTTAAGATGAAGGCCAGGCTGAACAAATGCCTGGCGGAGGGAGGCAAGGAGAAGTGCACCAAGCTGCTCAAGAAGAAGCCAAAGAAGAAGGTGCTGGAAGAAGGCAAATCCCAGAAGAAGGATCAAGCCAAGAAGAAGGTCTTCGAGGAAGGAAAGACCACCAATCCCAAGGAGGAGGTGGAGGAGCAGGAACTTGGCCATCCGGAGACCACTGGACATCACCGCCGACGCGGCGACAGTCACGCTGCAGAGCTCGACCAGCGTGACCGGAGCCCGCGTTGGCGTCGCCGTCGCAGCACCGAGTCCAAGGGCGATCTCGGCCAGCTGCCAGCGGAGCAGCAGCCCCAGTTGGACGAGGAGGAACTGCAGCAGTACGGGAATCAGTCGAGCAGTGCACGAGTGGCCCTGTTGTGGCAACGTGTTAAGCGCAAGTCCGGCAAGACCACGGGTGCACTGAGCCGTCCGAAAGGTGGTGGCGACTCCAGCTCCAAGACCACCAGCCGCAAGGACAAGGGTGAGTGTGCGTCCGCACGGCGGCCAGACACTGGCAATGCCACAGTGCCCAATGCCTTTGACGAATTTGCCGCCGCTGTCGCTGTCTCGTTGTCTGTCTGTCCGTCCGTGTCGCGCTGCCTCACAGAAGCACACAGATCCCGGATCACACAGCGGGGGCGGACTGTCCGGCCCGGAAAGCTCTTGCAAAGGTCATAGGTCACGCGGTGTCAGTGTCCCAAGAGGTCCGTTATGGGGGAAGTTCCTATAGCTGTTGGGTCTGAAAGAAAGATAGATAGACACACAGATCTAAACTTAAAGACAAATTTTATCAATATTAGAGGAATAGTTTTGGTTTTCTCTTAAAAATATTTATAGAATTTGATTTAAAATATTTGTTATTATAATAATGTGAAAGTATACGGTGAAAAAACTTTTAAGACATGATGATCTTTTTATTGAAATTCCATATCAATTATACCTTTATATGGGGCGTATCTCTTTGATATGTCCTCCATCTTGCTTTTTGCTCACTTTATCCATTTTGGAGAATATCGAGCAGTCTCGATCTTTTTAGAGTAATTTTAACTGCCATCTCGTTTTTTCCCTTTTTTTTTCTAATTTGAGAGAATTTTTAAAGAGAGTACGAATGATAGTTCACAAATTTACCATGTGGATGTTAATTTGATTGTGTATATATGCTTCTTAAAACTAAACTTTCTGAAAGCTTGATGGATTTTTTTTAAAGTGAATTGTTATACGACAATATCATAAAAATACGCATACGCCCTGTTAAATTTTAAATTAAGTATACGCCTAGTGAGCCCCTTTAACGTTTACACCCCTTTTAGACCCCTAAATTAAGTATACGCCCAGTGAGCCATTGAAAAGCTGTCCCCCTAGCACTTTTCAGCGCTTCATCATGCTTTCCAGCTTTATAATGTAACAACATTTTGACAATGTATGACGGGGAATATTGAAACCGCTTTTGCAAGGGCATTTCAACCAACAGAAGCACACATGTGAACACACACCAAAACACCCGAACATTAACGGAAGTTGGGAGCAGAGGACACACCGAACATACTCGTAAAAGCTAATCGCAGTCACAGCCAAAGCCACAGCCATCGCATCGCATCCAGGCATAGCTCATACCCCCAGCAAATTCACACCTGCACCACCTTCGCCACCTGCACCACCCTCTCCACCCACTAGTATTTTCCACCCCCCTTCTGACGGCTTTTCATTACCCCATTTTCGCCATCGGTGCTGCGTGGTCATGGTTTATTTGCCAGTCCATATCTTTGTCGTGGTTGGAGTTCAGAGTTGAGAGTTGTCCGTTGCCGGTTGGCCCTTTGTTCTGGCCGGAATGATTTTCCTTTTGGCTCCTTTGTTTGCCGAGGCTCCTACGCCGCCTTTGTCCATGAACCGCCTTCTCCGGTCCCTTTGCTTTTCCTTTCTTTTTTAGCCATTTTCTATTAGCCAGCATAATATTATCTTTGGTGTTATCTCTGCCTTTTCACATCTCCCTTATTTTTTGTGCTGCTGCCTTTTGATGGGGTTTTCTGGGGAAATGAAGTTGTATCCTGTTAAGTGGCCACTTCGCCAGCCTTCTGGTTTTCTTTTAATGCATATCTAAGCACTTGGAGCAGCCCATTGAAGTTTTTCAGCTGGCAGCACTTTTCGCACGTCTCGTGGTTCCTCAATGGCCTTCTCCAGGGCTGCTCCAGGGCTATGGGTTTCTCTATGGCTTAATGTGTGTGCCCAAGAGGCGTACTCGAGGATTGGGATTTTGCAGCTTCTTTGGCACTTTCGGCGGAAAACTCGACTTGAGTTTTGGGTCAACTTAGAGGGGCATTAGAAGATCCCCCATTGTCCACCCGGCACTTCATTAGCATCCTCATCTCAATCTCCATCTTCATCTCCCATCTCCATCTTCATTCGCCTGCCGTTCGACGGCTCATTAGATGCTTGCTCTATCTGCTCTATCCCCCCTCTGAACGTCTATCTACCCCCTCCCCTGTTTCTTGGCATGGTACATTGCCCATCTCACGACGCCCACACCTTCTGCTCTTCTCGTCCCGCCTCGAATATCTAGGTATCTACGACGAGGAGGCCGGCTACACGCCCGTCCATCCGGACGATGCGGAGTTCGACGAGGAGGAGGAGGAGGACGAGGAGGTGGACATCCTGCAGCAGTTCACCGAGGTGTCGGAGATCCGGTTTCCGGGCGAGATCGGCCCCATGGGCGATCGGCGGCTGTGCAAGATCCGCTGTGTGAAGGGCAAGTGGGTGGGTCCGTTGTGCGCCACCAACGAGGAGGGTAAGTGAGCCACCACCACCACCACAACTGCCACAGTCACTACCCCCACACGCCCTCGACAATGCACCATTAATTATTAAAGTGTTCGAGTACAGATACTTAGTTGCAGTTGCAGATACATAGCTCCAATTACGGTTACAGATACAGATACACAGATACACTTAAGCCACACAAACAGTTGCGAATTCATTTATTTACGCGCGCAAATAAAGACAACACAATCAGTACACAATCGATAACAGCACACAATCAGATTGTTGTTTCATTTCAACCCAATTAATATGCCCGCCAATTAAAGATACACGGTGAAAAGTATCGTACATATGTTCTTTACTCACTTTTTGATTTTACATCATATCATATAACATAAATATATTATTTGCACAAAACAGTAGAATGAAGTAATTTGATATCCTCTTTTACCTGTCTTATGATATAATAATAATTTTTGTACATCAGTTTTTAGTTTATTAATAAACTCTTTTATTATTAGTTTTATTACTGTTTTTGTTTTGATTGTTTTGATATTTTTATTCCAGAGCTAAATTATTTCTTAAATCATTACAAGAATTTTATCTTCAATTTGTATTTAGAGTAATATTTCATTTTTATTATGTATGCTTCTAAAATATCTACTGATGAAAAATGGAATACATTTAGATACATTTAAGATTATATTTATAAATAAATATTATTTAAATATTAACCGAAGGGTCTGGAAATATAAGGGTGGATTTTGAAGTTACTTACTCTAAATTACTTAAAAATCAGTAGAAATTTTAGTAGCATTATAGTTATCATGTCACTACGCCGCACTCTGTTATATTTGACTTGGAACATATAAAAGTAACAATTTGGTGATATTTCTCATCCGCAAATCGGTATATATCACATCCCTCAGACGACAATGGGAATGTGAAGTTTCAGCCGCTGTACAAGAGCTGCCACGTGAACCGGATACCGTCGCACTTGCTGCTCAGCTACCGCAACATTTCAGTGGTAAGTGGTCAAAGGTCGACGATCCTTCGACGGGTCAGCTGGCTGCCGCACTACCACCACCACAGCACTACAACACACACATATACATACATATGCAACGCACACGCACACCGAGGCACCCAGTGCCCTCGTACATGCATAAGTTCTATAGATTTCCGGAGACCTCCTGCGACTCCTGCGATGTCTCGATTGCTTTTGCGAAGGGGATCGGATGGATCTCAGCTCCGATTTCGACCTCGATATCGACTTTGACTTCGATCTGCTATCTCTCTCTCTGCCTGCGCCTCTGCCTGTCTCTGTCTACTCGCACCTGTCTCTCTCTCTCTCGCTCTATCCTCATCTCAGCCTGAAAAACTCACCAAAAAATAATAATAAAATTCTCAATATATCGCAATATCTCAAAGACCAGTGACCAAGCCATCTGCATGCCGATGCTCGAGCGAAATCGGGCGTTAAAAAAACGAATAAAAAAAACGATTCTCTACAGTATGTGTGTTTTTTGGTACTCTCTGATTCTCTCTCTTGCAGACACCGATCCCACCAAATCGCGGCTGGCGTAAAACGCGCTTATCCAAATCGACACTTCTCTCAAATACAGAAATTGTGAGTCGTCGTTGTAGCTGTTGTGTAGAATTGCACCCACAAGAAACCCACAACCAGAAAAGCACCAACACGAACACACAGAAACACACAGTGAATGCCAGATAAAAGATACAGTACTAAAGATACAAGTTACCAGATACAAGACACACTCAGATACTCAGATACTAAGATACTCGCACACGGAGATTGCCGAACGCGAGGACCTGCACGCCAGAGCAACCAGCGCCACTTTCCCAGTCGCGGGAGCATCTGATTTTTTGATAACTCTCTCCACTTTCTCTCTCTCTCTTTCTTTACTTTCTCCTCCCCTTGCTGTCTGCACCCTTTCGCTTTTCCCACACTGCTTGCTTGCGATTTGCCCCTTTCTCCAGAATGTGGGATGGGATCTGCCGCACGGACACTCTCTGCAGGCTCGTTGCCAGGAACTGGGAATCTACAAGCTGCTGGGGGAGTCGAGGGTCCTCTGCTCCAATGGACTGTGGGCCCCTCGCATGCCCAGCTGCGTCCCCACCACCGTGCTGACCAACTACTCGGAGGACAGCGCCCCCTCGATCCGCATCAAGGTCTTCAACGGCTCCCACTCCTTCGAACCCTCCGGCGTGATGGCCGTTCCGCCGCACAGCACCGTGCTCATGGACTGCATGTATCCGAGGGTTAGGGGTACGCCGGAGTGGAGCTGGACCAGCTGGTACATGCAGTATTCCACAGGTGAGTGGGTTCCTAACTTCTTGGAACTGGCAGATTTCGATAGGTCTTCAATGCTTTCCTATCAGCTAAGATGTTTTCCCTCTATCTATGTATATCTAATGTTCACAATATTTTCTAGTCTGCTCACTATACTATTTTTCTAAATGATTTATGAAAGAATGTGGGATATTGCCAGCTATTTTTTTTTTAAATGGCCTTAGAAACATTCTCTGGAACACCATAAAATGGATGTTTTCTGAAATTTTCGATTCCGTGTTAAACTTAAACATGATTTCTGTGAAACTACTTAAAATGGTTTTCTAATTTAAATAATTCTAGATTTTAAGAATACGAAAAATAAAATAAAAATGTTAGGTGCTATTCTACAGAATATTATGACATGTTTTTTGCGGTTTAAAGCCCTCTGAAAAGCTATTAATCTTGATTTATGAAAGCCGACGGATAAACCCAGGCAATTTCGAATAAATAATAATTTTGTATTATTAACTTGGCATCTAATACGTATAAATCAATCTAAACTGGTGTGACCTTTTCACTCTCTCCTCGCAGGATGGTCGCCGTCCCAGGAGGAGAAGGCCGTGCGCTACCGGCTGAGCATCAAGAACATCGAGAACAACGACTCCGGCACCTTCACCTGCACCTCGCCCCGCGGACTGACCAACAGCATTGCCGTCGTGGTGGCCACTTCGACGTGTCCGCAGCTGACAGAGCCGCTGGCGCCGCTCAAGCTGCGCCTGGAGGGCAACAAGCTGGGCCAGCGGGCGCACTACGAGTGCCCCGATGGCTTCTGGCTGGACGGCGCCCGGAACGCCACCTGTCTGGCCTCCGGCAATTGGTCATCGCCGACGCCGACCTGCCATGCCATCCAGTGTCCGCGTCTGGAGCTGGACGACCCGCACCTCAGCCTGATCGAGCTGAACACCTCGGCATGGGGGCGGGCGGTGTTCAAATGCCAGTGGGGCTTCAAGCTGACCGGACCGGCGCAGCTGGACTGTGAGCCGTCGGGCGTCTGGAGTGGCCCCGTTCCGCGTTGCAAAGGTGAGCGATCGGGGTTTAAGGGGGGAGATTACCAGGGGACTGAAAATAGGTTTGCTTTTTGTGGAATGTATGAGAACTAAGAAGGAGGCTAACTGACAAGAACTTTATTATACTTTCTAGCGACCCCCATATACAGTTAGAATAAATATATAGAGTTCATAACAGTAAGCTATAGTTTGTTACGATAGGTACTACTCTAATCCAAAATGTAAGATATTTTAAATGGAAATTGTTTTAACTTATTAATCCTGCGAGGGGTGAATGTTTATAGAAAATGTGGAGCTTATAAGTATGCTACAAAAAATGAAGCTTTTAAAACACCCCATTAACAAGTTCTGGAAGGGGAGGCCCTTATTATGTTTTGGTAGTCTTAAAAAATCATACAAAAGCGGACATTTTTGTTAGTCTTATTCTTTAAAGAAGATTTATTCCTGGACATCAACTTGCAATGTTTTTAAGGCTACTATAAAGGTGTCTAATAGTATGCAACGAAAAACCTTAAGTCCACGTTTTGAAAGCATTCCTTTGGAAACCTTTACAAGGGGTAAAAATATCCAGAGGTTTTCCAGTTTCCTCCCTCATGTATCCACAGATCCCTTTGTTTTTAAAGAAAACCCCTTACTAACTTTCTAACACCCTCTATTACTGGCACACCCATGGCAACACCCAGTCATCCAGTGCGTGATGCCAGTGGCGCCGCTCAACGGGCGCATCGGGGGCACCAGCCTGAGCCAGAGGCGCCTCACCGTGGGCGCCCTGGTCACGTTCAGCTGCAACGACGGGCACAGCCTGGTGGGCGAGTCGAGCATCATCTGCACGGAGAACGGACAGTGGTCGCACTCGCCGCCATTTTGTAAGTAGACTCGCTACTCACCCACACACTCACTGACATAGACACGTATATATGTATATGCGTGCGCTGCGAGAGATTGCCGGCGCACCGCTCCACCGCTCCACAGCTCCACCGATCCACCGATCCTCCTCCTCCTCGTGGGCCCGCTCACAGACTAAACCCAATTAATGACTCTTGTGTTGTATTTCCGCCGAACAAACGACCGATTTCGATACCGATCACGAATCATCAATACATACCTGATATCTGATACCTGATACAACCTGATACCATCTGAAACCTGATACAACCTGATACACGCATGACATGCCCACTGACCATCCACGATCTCAGGCAAATCGCAGTGCCCCTATCCGGGCGATCCGCCCAACGGTCTGATAGCGCCTCTCAAGTTTAACTACGATGCCGGAGACTACCTGAGTGTCCAGTGCCGGCCAGGATTTGTCCAGAGTTACGAGGGTCCGCCCGAACGGCCCAAGTGCCAGCCGGATGGCCGGTGGTCGGGTCCGATGCCCAAGTGCAAGAGCTACGAGGAGGTGTAACCTCCAGAAGATCCACAAACCGAAACCCGAAGACCCGAAGCCAAGGATTCGCCGCCAAGTCAGCATTACGGATCCTCCATCTGAATTCCGATTGATTCAGAATGCAGATCGAAACCGAGTGATATTTAGATTAACTTAGTGAGAGGTATCAAAATTAATAGATATTTTATCAGATAGGTTCAATTCAAAACATTATCTTTTAGTGGCCCACGAATTTCCAAAAAAAAGAACTCTCCTTTCGAACGCTTTTGAAACTCTATGTAACTCTAAATAGATCAAGTTGGTCAGGCACACTCTACAGATATTTGTTCTTCAGATTGAATACACTTTGCGCTTGCATTTTATTATGAGGAATCCTTGTACTTACACTAACTATTTAATGAAATATATAATCAACAGCTGCGTACAGGTATTTAAGTATTACGTATTCTGGTTGCAACTCAAAGTTACATAAATGTAAATGTTTAAATGAAATACAAACACAAAACTTACCCACAGTGCGAGTATATATATATGTATACAGATTAACAATTCTATTCCACCATAAAGCAAAAATGTATTACACTGAGAGAAAGAGGAGATTGCAGCAGCAGTTGTTGGACGAGTGTTGATTAGTTAGGAGCTAAGACATGCCAAGCTAGGTAAGGCTCCCCAAATCAGGGGTCCCTTGAAAGTCATATCCGTATAGAGCTGAGGAGCATAGGTATTGCAAAGTGTATTGTAAGCAGCTGCAATCTGTGTGTAAAGAAAAGACCGTTTTAAAATAAAATACGAATATTGTGTAAAATGCAAGTCTCAGTCTTTAACTGTCTTGGCTCTTGGCTCTTGGCTCTGGGACTTCTCTGAAGAAGTAATATATCCGTAAGCTGGGCGCGAAAGTGTGCCAAGGAAATCCATATGCACGTGTTTCTCTTTCGCCTAAGCCAGCTGCTAATGCGAGCACAGGAGCAACATCCCCGGCAGCAGCATGTACGGCAGCAACATCTACAGCAGAAACACATACAGGAGCTGAAACTACAGCACGGAAAGCAAACAGTTACTTCATAAATGTGTGCTGCACTGAAAAAAATAGTTTGGTAGGTAAAGGGAGACTTTAAAAAAGTAAAACTGTATTCTTCCATTTAATAATTATGTTTTCAAGCCATGTGGATTTGTAAGATATTTAATTATTTTGGAAAGCTTCTTAGGTTTGGTGTGACTTTGTAGCATAGAAAGCAGCTAAGTGTGACCATGCTTTTTAGAAGATTTTATAAAAACGATTTAGTTTCCTTCTTAAGAACTATATTTTTTATTGGTTTGTTATGATTTTAAATGAAGAAAATTTTTTTTTTAATTCTATTAACTGATGGTGTGACCATAAAGCCTAGAAAACAGCTAAATGTGACCATGCTATTATCCAAAGAATTTCTTATTACCTGATTCTGTATGGCAAAACATTGATTCTTTGGAATTTACAAAAGGCAATATAATTTTTCTCTGTGGACTTTACCTTTTCCCTACAGCTGGATGGCAGGGTGTCAGGCGGAAGTGAAATTCATTTAAAAGTTGAGAGGGGCGTGGAAATTTAGTTGGTAATCTTCCCCAAGGTTTCCCGTTCATACGCGCGTGTGTGTGTAGCCTCAGGTTTGCCAGCAGAGCCCGCAATGTGCACCTGGAAAATTAATTTGTTTTGTTGCTTTGCACCTCGAAACGATTGAGGCTTCATTTCCCGCCGCCAGCTCATTTTCCACACATGGCCGCAGAAGCGCCATTGTCGTTTATTCTCAACCACTCCCCCGCTCATTTAATGGCAATTTGGATGAGGATGTGGATGGGGATGTGAGTCTGGCTGTGCTGTGCGGTTTGGTTTGGTTGGGCTTGGTGCTTGGTGCTTTTGACGCAGAAAGGTGTCCAAATTGAGACGCCCCGTTGTCACAGCAGCAACTTGTACACTGCTATGTGCGTAATTAAAATTAACTGCTCCTATTACTCGTACTTTCGGCGCAAATTGGTTTTGCTTGTTTGCCAGTCTCGAAAATTAATACAACAGACTCTGCGTGGGCGCGACATAAAACTCGCATTTAACTTAAACTCACTTTTGAGTTGGTAACCTTAAAGGGAAACCTGCATGTAGCACCAATTGTTTGGGGCTAATTAGGGAGCACGCAATTAGCCGTATGCGAATGTGGGATTCGCATCCGTGGGATGCATATCCATTTCCGATTTGTGCTGAAAGTTGAGCCATTTTCATTAGCACCTCTGGAGTTGCGTTGCAGTAAAGCAAAAGCAAAAGCAAAAGCCATCGCATCCGGACATCCGAGTGAGCTCAAACATATCACAACTGCAATATTTTCCGTCCGTGCTCTCGGGCCAAAGCGATGAACTATGCATGTCACGTAGCTCAAAAGCGGTGTCCCCGCACTTTGAACCCAAAACACATTCCCCACCCACTGGCATTATTCCTACACATAGGAAAATAAACGATAAAAAACCGACATGTGTCTAACATTTTTTTTTAACATATAAAAAATAGTTTTTGCCACAAAAAAGATGTGAATTTCAAAAACATATCACTAGGGTTTTTATATCACTTTTAAACGCAGTTTCAGCTGCCTAAGAGTATGCAATCAAAAATTGCTAGTCGTCTTTCTGAATGAATTCATTGACTTTGAAGTTTTAAATATATTGCTGCATACTTTTAGACACCTAAATTAAATTTTTAACTAATTTTAAGACCCTGTTGATTTGAGTGGCACTATCTTTTCCTTTTTCTTGTATACATCATTTATATTTATATTTAGAACTACTGGAACAAAATAAACGGTATAGATATTTTTAAGTACCTACATTTTCGTATATGGCTAAACAGGTTCCGCTACCAAAGATTTTCCAAAATAAAAATATACAGTTTTTTCCACTGTAGGTCAGTCATAAAAAACGAGCTTGGCCCGGACTTTTGGCCTGCCCCCAGTCGTGTCCTGGTCTGGATGTTAAATGCATGCCAAAGCCCCGAGGCTAACTACACTTGAACTCCCTCGTTCCACTCCCTATTCCCTTTTCCCTGTGCCCGGACCCTCGTGGAAAAACTATGTTTTCAGCTCCGCCGTTGGTTTTAGTGCAGTGCCGGCCATAAAGTCATCTCTGCCATTTATTTCGACTATTCGCTGGTTTTAAAGTTGGCCGCATAGTTGACAAATTTCCAGCACCCCGGCATGCCATTGGGGAAATGACAAGATTGTGTGTACAGCTGAGAGAACACTTACCCACTCATCTGAATATTTTGATTAGTTGGGAATTCGTTTCAGCCTAGTCCCATGTGGTCTGTTTTGTAGGGAGTAGAAGCTTTCATCAATCACTTGAAGAATTGATTGGCAATCAATTCGTTTAAAACAAGGTAAGTCAATAACTTGGAAAAAGGTATCTTTTTAGCTGATTAAGTAGGTTTGTGTTTTACACTCAATATTTCAATCCTATATATGATATCCGGAAGTATTAAATAAAGTTTCCCAGTTATTAGTTGGAATAGCCTTGAAATTTTTAATTTTTCAAAATATCAATAATAATATTATTTGGTGATACCATTTAAATTGCATAATTACCATTTCAAATATTTAGTTACAATGCTTATCCAATACATCTACGATATATCCCCTACATAATACAAATTATTTCTCTCCTTTCCAACATTTTTATTCGTTTTACATATTTTCCCACCCCTTTCATGATAAAAGTAATCTATACTTGTATAAATTTCTTTTGTTATAAAAATAACTTGCATTCTTTAGTTTTCACATTCTATCAATGATATTTTTTCAAGGAATTTAATGTGGAAATGTTGTAGCCTACCTATAGATCCCTCATTAGGCACTCCTTCGACAAAAACCGATCCCGAGTTGCGTAATTACCTGCTAGTTGTGGCCTTGGTCATGACTAGGGCGCTAATTGAAACTTTACACCTGCTGCCGACAGTTTTACCGAGCTGCATTTCTTGAAAATATTAAAGAGCCACAGGAGCCACGAAAGGTGCTATATATATATATATGCAGTAAACCAGTACTTGAACTTTCCCCGGCAATTGGTCCCCAAGGAGCATTTTGTTGAGCACGGCGCACTAATTAATCCAACGGCCGCAGACACCTGGTAAGTGGGTGGGGAAGGTCCCCCGGCGGTGCAGGGGAATCCCCCGGCATTCCATTCGATTCAATTCCAACGCATTACGCATACGCCGCGTTGGCTGCTCGGCTACAAAGTGATTTATTTGACGGGGCGAAATTAACATTTAGATTAAAGAGCGCGGAATTAACATTTTCCATAAATATTTATTTGATTCTGAGTGGGAGTATAAGAAAGTATAAAATATTTCCAACGCTTTTAGCTGCAATCTAACTTGGTTACTTCGCCATGGGTCTTGGCCAAGTAGCGAAAGTATTTTGCATTTTGCTCAACGTAATCCAAATCGGATGCGGAAAAAGAAAGGCAACAATGAGTCAGGCGAAAAAAGGGGATAAATTGACCAGTGCTGTCGTTTTGCTCAAACATCTCCTGTCCGGAAATGTAAAAAATTTAAAAAATATAAATTTATTAATAAGAAAATAGATTAAAAAATTTAAAATTTTATTCTATTTTTTCTGATTTCCTCTTTAAAACTTGCCTGCTGGCTGCACTGAACTGAGCATTATTTTCACTACTGTCTGCCACAATTTCCATTCGCATTTTCCGGCCAAGACGCAGCTGCTTCTTACAATGCTGATATGCCATCTCGTTTTCATTTCATTCCATCTTCTGTTATCATAGATAACAAAAGGGGAACCCAAGTATCAATCGATATGGGGCAATCAACTGCAACGGAGTTGGAAACACAATGACAGCTGCCTCCAAGGAGAGGAAAATGTAGTTCCAGATTTTTCTATTAAATGTTTGGGATTTTTCCAAAGGAAAGGATTCTACACTGTTCTAATTGATATTTTCTAATTGAATATATTATTTTAATTTATAGAATAAGACCAATTTAAACATCTGACAGCATTTACTTCAATTATTCCTGAATTATTCGCACAAAAAGCCAAAAATTTGATATGCAAATTAACGAAGCGAAAAGCTTTAAGCCAGCCTAATTCCCAAACACCCTTGAAGAGCTTGTATGCCGATGCAAACATTTGCATTTATAAATATTTTATCAGATGTACGTATGGCTACAATTTATTATACTGTGTGGGGGAGAATCCTTTGGCCTTTTTGCCTTTTTCAGATACCGAATCCGTATCTCTTGTCGGCCGTGAATGCAACTTCCGCTTTGATGCTTCCACCTCGGTGATTTTTAATAATAAAACGAATTGGAGCGACAACACACAAATTGATAACCCGCTGTGTGCACTTCATAAAGCGTCGTAAGGCGCCGAAGGGAAAACTTTTGAACACCTTCCCCCACGTCTGGTGTAATATAAATAATACGTAGAGCAGCAGCAGCAGGCAAACAATGGCAATAAAAGCGTAACAACTCGGCCAAGACAAAGTCAAGTTGAAGGCAACAAAAGCAGCTTCGAGTACGAAATGACAATTGACACGGGGGAACCCCCCTTTTCCACACCTCCCCGGAAAATGTCACCCCCAGCAGTACACCTTTTTCCACCCGCCTCGCACAATTTATTTTATTGTTGTTTGGCAAACAACTTTCATAAGTTTCCAGCTGTTCACAAACGGCACTCAATTTTGGTCGCCATGGCAATCGTCGTAGCTGTCGCCCCCTGCATTTTCCGACCCCGGGTTTTCACCGTGAAAAGTTATAAAGAGAGAGTTTTACATTATTAGTTGCC